GCCCGAAACGTCAGCCTTCCTGCTCCTCTGATGCTGCTTGGCCTGCTGTGTTCATCCAGCTCTACACCTTGTTATCTCAGATTCTCCAGCATCTGCAGTTCCTACTATCTCCGAAAGAGCTTTGACACTGTCTGGTGCTAAGGACGGATAGCCTGATTCTTTTAGTTGTCATTACTTTGACAATTCAATTGACACATAATGATGGAAAGTCGCAATATATTTACAAATGTGAATTTCTATTTACAATAGTGTCACCCATGCCATATAGGTGTCCTCAGAAATGTTCCTGTGTTGCTTCTCTTACACGCCATGCACTGTGATGGATTCTTCCTGGCTGGCAGTGATTGACCTGATGCACAGATTGGCTTTAAATATGAAGCTGGTGACAGAAATTCCAGATGATCCTGGTAGCGCCAAACTCCTCCGTCACTGGTGACAGTACACAGAGCACCACAGAGCCCTTTGGGTTATTTATAATGAGGTGAACAAACAGAGAATTGTGTGAGAACTCACTGGAGCTCACAGAGAGAAACACTCCATGAAACTGGCATAAAATGACACCTGCTGATTTTGTCTAAAATTGAGCCTGTGTTTCCTCTTATCGATGAGTCCATTGGTGAAAACTAGAGGGTGTTGTTTTAGAATTAGGAGTTGCCCATTCAGTACTAAGAGGGAGGAGAAGTTTTTGTCTGAGGGTTGAGCATCTATGGGCTCTCCGTCTCAGTACGTGGTGGAGATGGAATCAGTAAATTTTTTTTTAAGACAGAGGTAGTAATTTTTTTGTTTAGCAATGGGACCATCGATTATTGGGAGTAGATGGGAATGTGGAATTTGGAGTACAAGCACATGAGCAAAGATCTTCCTGAATGGCAGTAGAGGCTTGAGAGGCTGAATGATCTGTATCATCTTCTAATCCATATGTTTGTATGAGGCTGGGAAATTGTCAGTGAGTAACTCACCTTCTGGCTCCCCTGTAGCAGCAATATTTACTGTCTACTGGGTGCACCACAGAAACTGACCAAGGCTGCTTAGACAGTACCTTCTAATCCTATGAACTCTACCATCTAGAAAGACAAAGGTAGCAGACACAAAGGAACACCACTTGCTACAAGTCACACACCATCCGAACTTGGAAATATATCCCTTTTCCTTCACTGTCACTGGGTCAAATTTATAAGGCTTGTTCCTCATTTCATCCTCTGTTTCTGACTGGAGACTAATTAATACATTTGGTTAACTGCAAGATGTTGTCTTCAGTTAAATGTTCATCCCCAAAAGACTTCTTTCACCTTGTCAGCTTATTTTAGTAAAAACAAAATGCAACTAATCAGAAGGTGGTGAAGTTTGACTGAAATTTATCACGCAGGCCCAGTTACAGCTGTCAGTCATTACTTATATCCTTCGCTATGGTCCGAGTATCTCAGGCAGTGGTTAGACTAACAGATGCATTTCTCTTTAAAAGTTCATAGATAAGGATACTAACATCTCCACATGAAGCTTTCCATTTATTAGTCTGATATATTCAACTGAACAACATCTGAGGTGAGTTGTTCCAATTTCAATTCCCATTCAGTGCTGTTTTCTTTCCCCGTGAACTCTGTCTGACTCTCATTCACTTATTTTCATACAATTACACAGATCCCATTATAGTTACCATCCTGTTTCACTCATGAACCCTGGATAACTATGACTGTCCAATGCTCAGAATATTTTTCTGACAGAATTGAAACATTTCTGTCTGATTCTGAGTATTAACACAAAGTGTTTATTTGTTTGTTTTATTGCTTGGACATTATGCCTGGAGTTATTTTTATTTTAATCTTATCCAAATTCAGGCAGCTGACACATTCTCTTAATCTTCCAATGAATTTTAATTAAAATAAACCATTTTTTGAAATTCAAGAGTCACCTCAACAGTTTATCTTTTGTTTTTGTTAACTTTTGATTCTCCATTTAAGCTTCAGGTCAATTTCCCACAAATGGTTAAGATGTAAATTCACATCACTTTATAATTCAGAAACAATTATGCCCACATTTGTTGGTTTTAATGTTGCTTTTGCATCAGGGACAGACGTGCTTGCTATCAATTTGCAGGTAACTCCCACAGTTTTTGTTCTGAAGCATTTTGTCTCGAATGATAACACATGACCTGAATGGTTAAAGCCAAGACTTTGAAAGTCAATGTTTTTGTCCATGTTGTGTTCTGACATCTCGGTCGATCGGTTCATGAATTCATTAAAAATTTTACAGTTCCTGCTGCTGTATCAGCTCCCATGTTGCTCTGGAAACCGTTATCACCTGTTTAAACAAACACACACACACACGCAAAAACTTGGCTTTGATCACTATACCAATGGATCAACACGTCCATGAGAACAACCACAGGAGTAAGAGCTGGACTAATGCTCAGAGATCCAGTTCTGGAGGTTGGGTTTCGCAGGGCCCAGCATGACGTCTGGCGTTTTCATGTTGAGGAATGCTCTTCCTCTGCTGTGATGTTGCTTCCTTTCTGCTGATGGCCCTCCCTCCGTAAGTCCTCCCGTCAAAGGAGATGCTGATGTGTTCATTGTGCAGTTACCTCATCCCATTGTGTGCAGGAGGTTATGCCTCAACAACTTGATTGAGTTTTTTGAGGAGGTGAACAGAGAATTGTGTGAGAACTCACTAGAGCTCACAGACAGAAACACTCCATGAAACTGGCATAGACACCATTGAGTTCACACTGGGGAGAGGCCATTCTCCTGTGCTGACTGCAAACAGGAATTTGTTGATTCATCTGATCTTCTGATCCACCAGTGAGTTTACACTGGAGAGAGACCATTCACCTGCTCCATGTGTGTAGGGGAATTCACTTGCGCATCCCACCGTCTGAAACACCAACACATTCACATCGAGGAGAGGCTTTTCACCCGCTGTGTTTGTGGGAAGAGATTCACTCAGTCGTCCAACCTGCTGCAATATCAGCGAGTTCACCACTGACTGTAGGGGTTTGATTTGATGATATTACAGCCGTTCATCATGGCCAGGTCTGAACTAGCAAGTTACTTCTGAGCAGTGCAAGAAATGTTCCAGCCACTTTCTTCCATAGTTCAGGTCTCCCAGACATAGAACAGAAGATCCTTTACAACCATGTTTAGAGTCAGAAGTAGCAATGATAAAGGCTGGAAGTGTGCTGTCAAATCAGAGATTAGTGTAGAAATATGACCTTTTCTGACTGGAAGTAAATCAGCAGGTTCCACTACAAAATAGAAACAAAGCTTTCCATTGCTAAGAAGTCATTTCTCAGCCTTCTCTTTTCTGAGGAAAAGAGCTTCAGGCTTTCCTGGTGATTACAAGCTATCCCTTCATTTGATATTTGTTTTGAATATTTACTTTCCTTGTCCTTGTGAATTATGACAACAGCAGAAATGTTTCTTATCTGAGGGATTTCAGTTTGGGCTATTTGCGTTTACAACATCATTCTCTCCATATGTCTGCTGACTGAACAACTTAACCATAGGAATTAGTTGTTAATCTGTTTAAACGTTGCTGAGTGAAAATGTCAATCATCCAACAAGCATTTATTATTGATTTAGCAGTCTCCACTGAAAAAAGAACAAATTTTCCTCTTGATCTTTTACATCTTTCTGCTATTTTATCCCTATAACATTTTAACATGAATTCATCCAACTAAGTGAATAAAATCTGTATTTTTAAAAGTGAGGAATTACCACATAGTGGAAAAAAAAACATAACCACTAAGAATGACAGAGACCACGGTGATGTAAACACCTGGAAAGTAAGATGTCCCCAGCTTGAGCAAACAGCTCATGAAAGACTAAAAAAAAATCAGAATTGTTGAATGAAACACCAAACAGTACTTAACTATCGAGTGAATTCTTAATATTTGCGAACTACACTGAGTAATCAGTCTTTGTACAGGGATAAATGCATGTGAGAAGTAACAAATTGGAAAGTTACCCTTTACATTTCTACAGCAGATAAAGGTTCCTCTGACTCTGTCAGTGGAGCTGTGGAATGAATTGGTTATGAATTCCTAAGTGTCCATTTGTTGGGCTGAATGATTTCATCTCACTGCATCACTCCATTAAATTGAATATTTAGGATCGAGATAGAGAACGAGAAATGAATCAGTCGTTGTTGGATTGCACGCAGCAAGAGTCAACCCTTCAGCACTGATCACAATGGGAAGAAGTGAAAAGTTATAAAAACTGATTTCAATTTTTTGTAGACGGTGGAGTACTAAAGCTCTTTTAAGAGATGGGAGAATTTAAAAAATAGTGGAGAAAACTCTGACAACTGATTGATTTTCCAATTAATTTACTAATCTTTTTCATCCCCCCCTCCCCCCGACCACAGCAGATGTTAATGACGTTCCTGTTGGTTGGAGGACGGTGCGTGAATGGCAGGTCCTCCAACCAATCGGAATAACCGAGAGGCGGGACTGGGCCCGGAGCTCTCCAATTGAATGAAACTCTGCCTTATTTGGCAACCTGGTTTTTCTCAGACTCCAGGAGAAAAGTGGAACTTTCTGTTTGTGGCTTTAAACAGATACAGCCCTGTGGGGCTGGAGCAGACATTTCACAGTGCTGTTTAAATTTAAACCAGGCCAGTTACCTGTGATTGGCATTGCCCTGAGAAACTAACGACCGAATGGCTGACAATTTTGTTGAGTTGAACGACATGCAGTGTGTGTACATGTTCTTTGTTTGTAAGTAACAGAGCCTTGTGTACGAACACACATAGCTTGCAATACATGCAAATGCATCACAACTCTAAACTGCTTGTTAGTGTGAGATAACAAGGTGTGGAGCTGGATGAACACTGCAGGCCAAGCAGCATCAGAGGAGCAGGAAAGCTGACGTTTTGGGCCTAGACCCTTCTTCAGAAATAAGAAGTGTAATTGTTAGTGTAATTCTTAGCAATTGTAATCAGTAACTATGGAATGCTTTGAACATATTATCCAATTAGGAATTAACCACCACACCAGTTTTAGCCACACCAGATTTCTTGAACCCTGTTAAGTCACTGCCTATGTTAGTACTGTAGGAGTTGGAGCTTCGATGCTGGCGGAATTGAAAGGCCAATTCGTTATTTTTCAAAGAAACTCAATATCCACCTGAAAAATACTCCACCATTAAAAAAGAATTATGGAGTTTGGTGCTGGCCTTATGACATTTTAATGTTTATGTTACAAACAGTGTTTCAGAGACGATTGCGTATGCAGACCACAACCCTCTTTTTGGAAAGATTTAAGGATAAGAATACAAGACAATTTCATTGGAGTCTTATGTTACAGGCTTTTAATTTACTGATTGTACATTATGCGGGTTGTAAAAATGTTATTGCAGTTGCATTATCACAGGTTTGAAAGAAAATGTGTAGATAGACAGGCACAGTAGGGTCCAATGTTACATATGTATGAAGGGTGTAAATTTAGATTACTGACCTATGTATCTCATGTTAAGATTTAAAAACAAAGAAGCCATCTTTTCATAATGATGGTTCTTTTTTTACTTAAGTGGGGGAGGTCTTACAAAGTTGAATGGAATGTGTGGGCTCTTTAAGAAGCAAAGTGCTTTTCTAAGCTTAGAGATTTATACAGAGAGAGAAACAAATGTATGTAGCTGAAGATGTACAGCCAGTTCTAAAATGGAAACATGTATCACTTGGCTGTGTGATTGGAGACCTTAGGCATGTTTTGATGTTTTGGCAATGAGCTGGAACAACCAATTAATTGAAACCAAGCACTTAGCGATTGAAGGCCAATTGAATTTAAATCTGATGGTTTTGACAACTTCAGACCAATGCGACTGTAAGAAAATTGATATGTCATCCAAGGAATGTAAGGGTTAGGGTTAGGCTGAAAATCAGGCTGAGGGCGAATTTCCTTCTGAGAAATAAGTATTGGGCTCTCACAAGAAATCACTAAGGTCTCTAAAAAAATGCCATCATCCATAAAAGACACCATCACGGCACTTTTAGCTAAGAGTCCTCACAAAGAAAATATCCCTGACAGCTGCATCAGCAGAAGAAATGCATTCATGACTTGAGAACAGCAGAAGAAAAGTGTTTATGACTGAAAGACAGTGGAGAAGGCAGAGCATTCTGGAAGACACATCCTGTGTGAACTTTGGGAGACCAAGGTATAACTTATTTTTTTCTTACTACTTGGGTTGCATAAGTGGGACTTGTTTATTGGAATAGCATACCAGTAGAATTTTGTTCAGTTAGGGTGTAGTTAGGAGTTGGGGGGAATCGTTCAGTTTGTTAGTAGTCCTGTTAATTTGTTCACTGTTAGGGTTAAATAAATAAATTGATACTTATTCACTTTATAAGTAAAATTAGGGATTTTCTTTCATTTATCCTTGCCTAATCTGTTAAACTGTTACGGAGAAGGGGAGGTGAGGCAAGCTTCATTGAGTGTTTCGAGTTTAATTATTAGAAGGCGTCCTCTAATCCTGCCGTAACAGATTGGGGCTTGTGTTTCATTTTTAATTATCATAAGGGTTTGGCCTCCCCTTCATTACATTATGTATGCTTTTTTTTATCTTTTTGAGCAAGGTCATAACATCCCTGGTCAACCAAGGTTCATGTAACTTACCATATCTATCCTTCATTCTCACATGAACGTGCCACTCCTGAACTCTTATCAAATGCTGCACATGTCTAATGTGGATTTACCCTCAAACAGCCACCTCCAATCAACGTTCTCCAGTTCCTGTCTAATATTGTTGTAGTCCGCCTTCCTCCAATTTAACACATTCACCCAAATGCTGTAATCCCTGTCCATGAGTATCTTAACACTGACAGTCTAGTCACTACTCCTGAAATGCTCCCCCAGTGAAACTCCAGTGAAAATGAGCTGGGCTCATTTCCCAAAACCAGGTCCAGTACAACCCCTTCCCTGGTTGGACTGTTTATGTACTGTGTCAAGAAACCCTCCTGAATGGTCCTTACAAATTCTGCCCCATTTAAGCCCCTCGTATGAAATGAGTCCCAGTCAAGTAGGGGAGATAAAAATCACCCACCATAACAACCCTGCACTTTTTATATATCTTTATGTTTGTCTTCATATTCTGTCATCTACCTCCTGTTAGCTGTGGGGAGGGCTGTACTATTGCCCCCCAGCACTGTGATTTCACCTTTCCTATACCTGAGTTCTACCAATATTGCCTCACTGCACAAGTCCTCTGATGTATCCTCCCTCAGTATAGCTGTGAGAATCTCCTTTTCCAGTAATGCAACTCCCCCACCCCTTTTACATGCCTTTCTATCACACCTGAAAGATTGAACTCCTGGGACATTCAGCTGCCAACCTGTCCCTCTTTCAGTGCCTCTTTCCAAGTACTAATCAAAACTCGAAGTTCATCGCCCTTGCCTATTATACTTCTTGCACTGAAACACTTGCATTTCAGATGACCTCCCTGCTCTTCTCAGCAGCGTTTCCCTGCCTGTTCTTGTTCTTAGTCATGTTTGCCTTGGTTTCTACCTCTCCCACATTTTCTGCATCTATTGCCCTACTCCTCTGGCTCCCATTCCCCTGCCACACTAGTTTAAACCCTCCCCAATCAGTCTACCAAGTATCCCCCTCAAAGGCATCAGTCCCAGTCCTGCCCATGTATAACTCATCCAGTTTGTACAGGTTCCACCTCCCCCCGGCTGAATGAAACAATTGCAGGGTACAGATGCTGTTGGCAATCTGAAATAGAAATTCTATTGAAGACGTTCAGCAAGTCTCTGGAAGTTCTGAAGATGTCATACTGGATTTGAAATGCTAACTCTGTTTCTCTCTCCACAGGTGCTGCCAGACCTTCTGAGGGGTTTCCCCAGCATTGTGTTTGATTCCAAGGAAACAACCACCACCAACCATAGAGACAGCATTCCATGATTTCACAACATCCATTTGTCCAAGTACAGAACAATTTCCCCCTCTTATGCGCTGGATTTCTTTTTGTTCTGATTTGCTTATGTATCCTATCTAACTGTATCATTTGAACAAAAGGATCATGATGTGAACCCCTTTCTTAGTTCATCTGTGACTCCCAGACACATAACTTACACTTAGCTGAGAGAGGAACCGAAGATCTGAGAACTGAAATAATCTAGAGTAATAATGGGGTCTTAGTCATGGCTCAGTGTTGCATTCTCATCACTGATCCAGGAGGTCAGTTCAGACGATACACATGGGCACAAGAACTAGGTTGCTATTCTGATGCAGCATTGTACTCACATTTTGGATGCAACGTTCAACTGTGGCCTCATCTGCCCTCTCAATTGGGTGTATAAGTTCCCAAAATGTTATTCTGAAGAGCAAGTAATTCCTCTCTGGTGAGCTGCTCAATATTCATCCCTGAACAAACACAACAGAACATAATATATTGTCAGAATCACAGTTCTCATTGCAGGATGTTGTGATTTGATTGCAGTATTTTCAAAATTAAAAACAGTCACTGTACTTCAAATGATCCTCACTGGCTATAAAGCATTATAGTGCATTCTGAAACGTGAAAGATAATATAAAAATACAAATCTTCCATTAAAGCAGTCAGTAACAGGACACCAAATAGCTTACTTTTTCTTAGAGAAATGAAAGAGTAACACTGTGTTTAGTGTAAAACTGATTTATTTAATCTTTCTCCATATTATTAACCACCAGCCCAGCTACAGAGGTTATTAACATGAACTGAAATAAGCTGCAACTATCAGAGTGAACCTGGTTCACTCCTGGATGTGATTACCAGCTGTAACAACAGCAGAATCCAATACCTGGAGTCACTTGTGAATTTGCTCATGCCTCAATCAGGAGGAGTGAATGAGTGAATCACTTCCCACAACTGGAGCAGATGAATGGTTTCTCTCCAGTGTGAACGAGCTTGTGTGTAACAAGGATGGAAAACTGAGTTAATGTCTTTCCACATTCAGAGCAAGTGAAGGGTTTCTCCCCAGTGTGAACCCTCTGATGTATTACCAGATTGGTTAACTGAGTGATTCTTTTCCCACACTCAGAGCAGGGGAATGGCCTCTCCCCATTGTGAACTCATTGGTGCGGTAGCAGATTCTCTTTGCTTTTAAAGCTTTTCTCAGTTGGAACATTTAAAAGGCCTCTTGCAGGAGTGAATGAGTTCATGTGAGGTGTTGAATAGTTGAGTGAATCCCTTCCCACACTTGAAGCAGGTGAACAGCCTCTGCCCAGTGTGACTGCATTGATGGGTTTCTGACTGGGTTGGAAATTTGAATCACTTCCCACACTCCTCACATTTCCATGTTTTCACCATAGTGCTGTTGTCCTTGTCTCTCTCCAGATTGCCAACAAATTATCCAGTCATGTCTGCATACAGAATATATGAACAGTTTCTCCCTGCTGTAAGTGATGCACTGTATTTTCAGGCTGACTGAATGGTTAAATTTCTTTCCACAGACGATGCACTGGAACACTCTCACTGCAGTGTGTGCGTGTGTCGCAGAGTTTGTTCAATCACGTTCCACAGCCACAACATTTCTCCTTTTGCAGTCAAAGGCTCGCGATTTTGAGGCCCTGCAGAAGAGTCAGTGTCAGATTTTGATGCGATGTTTATTTCAACCCGTACAATAACCTCGATTCAATCCCTGTACAAAAAAATGACAGCATCAGGATCACAAGCAGCACGGCACAGAAATTAACAATTGAATCTTTTTTTTTGTGGAACATTCTTTGCTCTCACTTCCCCAAATGTGAGAACAAATCAAACTTAAAGAAGCTAAAATTAATGTAAGGTTCCCCAGAAAGCTGCCTCTCCAAGGTTGCCCGTGTACAGACATGATCAGCAAAGAAAGGTCAATAGGCAGTGATCACCTCCAACTTGGACCCATGTGCTCTACAATTTTCTGTTTGAACCAGGACCACGAGTGGATTCAGATGACATGTTTCTGACTTACAATCTTCCTCCCTCCACTTAAACAGTCCCCTGTTTTGTTTCATTTTGTTTTCTTCAGTCGGTTACACATCTGCTCCTGGCACATCTTTTGTTTCTTTGTTTCTTTTCCAACAGACTAATGTTTCTGTCACTCAATTGCTCCTGTCTTCCACCCTATGCCAGGTCTTCCTTTTGTCATGGTCCCACCCACTCTTTGCATAAGGCCCATTCAATGTCTCACATTCCCCAGATCTAAAAAGCTCACAGACCTGAACATTTCACTCTGTTCCCCTCTCTCTGCATAAAAGCTGCCCGATGTACAGACTGCTTTTCAGCATTTTCTGGTTATGAAGATTTGAATTTGGGAACAATTAACTCTTTGGTGACATTTGCTGTTCACAACAAGCTATGTATCTAAACTGAAGAAGAATATGACAATGACACAAGGCAACATTACAAAACTCGCAATTTGGGCAATTCAATAACAAATAACTGAGGAAGAGAATAGACCAGGGTGCACTTTGGTGGGAGGAGTGTAAATATCACCTGGTCCTTGGAGAAAAAAGAAGTGAACAGAAAAGCAGAAACAAACCTAAACTGTGCTATGACAACCTGACTTTGTAAACTCCTTTACTTTAAACTGTCTGCTTGGACCAGAATACCAAATTTATGCTTTGTTTATCCATTCATAGGATGTGGAGATTGTTGGCTTGACCAGCATTTACTGCCCATCACAAATAGCCCAGAGGGGCAGTTAAATGTCAACCACATTGTTGTGGGTCTGAAGTCACACGTAGGTAAGGGCAGAGGATTTCCTTCCCTAAAAAGGCATTCATGAACCTGATGGTTTATTAAAAAAAATTCAATTTTCACAAATTCAAACTTCACTGTCTGCAGAGGTGGGAATTGAAAGCATGTCTCCAAAATGCTAAGCTGCGATTCTGGACAACAAACCCCATGACACGATCACTACAGCACAACCTCCCAGACAACCTGGTTAAGGACCAGTAACTTTTCAAAGTTGACAGAGAATGAAATCCAGGAGACTTTCAAAGAGAATAAGCCACAGGATTTAATGATTTCGAACAAACAGCAACAGACTTTACTGTTGTAGGTAAGCTTAGACAGAGAGGACTGGCTGAAGCTAAAATCTCTAAACAAAAAACAAAATCCTTTTAGAAGTAACACATGATGTCATGACAGTAAAAACTTGAACCATCTCGTAGATGTCCTCCCAGAATCTCCAAACCACAGCTTTCAATTCTGGCACAATGATCTGGGAGAGGGAGTCGCTCCTCATGGCTTGTGGTCCATCTCTAATTCTAACTCAATGCTGAACAGGTCTACATGGAATCTTTCTCATGCCGACACAAATTCCAGGGCTTCTTTCTCCGATTGAGAATCTGTCCTCTCTACATCTGTCAGAGACCTGCTCTTAGAGGCAATAGCTCTCAGGCCCTCAGCTTGCATTTACACCAGCACTGCTCCTAATCTGGTTGGAAGGCATCTTCTAGCAGTTTCAGTGCTCTGACTTGCATTTGGATGATAGCATCCTCGAGTCACACAGCACAGAAATAAACCCTTGGGTCCAACTTGTCCATACCAACCAGATATCCTAAATTAGTCTAGTCCCATTTGACCCATTTCCCTCTAAACCCTTCCTATTCATATACCCATCCAATTGCCTTTTAAATGTTGTAATTCTACCATTCTCCATCACTTCCTCTGGCAGCTCATTCCATACGTACACCATCCTCTGTGTGAAAATGTTGCTCCTTAAGTCCCTTTTAAATCTTTCCCATCTCACTTTAAATCTATGTCTTCTAGTTTTCAACCCCCTACCCTGAGGAAAACACCTTGTCTATTCACCCTATCCATGCACCTCATGATTTTATGAACTTCTAAGGTCACCCCTCAGCATCTGACACTCCAGAGAAAGTAGCCCAGCTTATTCAACCTCTCCCTATAGTACAAACCCTCCAACCCTGGCAACATCCTTCTAAGTATTCTGAACTCTTTAAAGTTTCACAACATCCTTCCTATAGCAGGGAGACCAGAAATGCATGCAGTATTCCAATAGTCGCCTAACCAATGTCCTGTACAACTGCAACATGACATCCCAACTCCTATACTCCTTGCACTGACCAATAAAGGCATTCATAGCAAATGCCTTCTTCACTATCCTGTATACCTACAACACTATTTTCAAGGAAATGTGGACCTGCACTCCAAGGTGTCTTTGTTTAGCAACACTCACAAAGACCTTAGCATAAGTGTATAAGTCCTGTCCTGATTTGCCTTTCCAAAATGTAACACCTCACATTTTATCTAAATTAAACCGCTCTTCTCTAATCACTCCTCTTCATTAGTTCTCCAAAAAACTCAGCCAAGTTAGTGAGACACAATTTCCCACTGTCAAAGTCATGTTGACTATTCTGAATAAGTTCCTGCCTTTCCAAACAAATGTAAATCCTGTCTCTTGGGATCCCCTCTAATAATGTGCCACCATCAATGTCAGGCTTACCAGTCTATTGTTCTCTGGCCTTTCCTTACCACGTTTCTAAAATAGTGGCACCACATTAGCCAACCTGCAGACTTCCAGCTGTGGTTATCGATGATCCAAATAGCTCAGCCAGGGGCCCACCAATCACTTCCCTAGCTTCCCACAGAGTTCTATGTACACCTGATCAGGTCCCAGGGATTTATCCCACCTTTACTCATTTTAAGACGTCCAGCACCTCTTTCTTTGCAATATGAACACTTTTCAAGATATCGCTATTTATTTCCCCAAGGGGCTTCCATATCCTTCATCTCAGTAAACAGATGCGAAATACTCGTTTAGTATGTCACCCATCTCCTGTGGTTCCATACATAGGCAGCCTTGTTGATCTTTAAGGGGCCCTTTTCTCTCCCTAGTTACCCTTTTGTCATTAATGCATCAGTACAATCCCTTTGCATTCTTCCTAACTGTATTTGCCAAAGCCATCTTGCCACCTTTTTGCCCTCCTGATTTCCCTCCTAAGTAAACTCCTAATGCCTTTATACTCTTCGAGGGATTCATTTGATTGCTGCAATCCACACCCGAGATATGCTTCCTTCTTTTTCTTGACCAAAACATCAATTTTGAGACATACAGCATTCCCTGCACCTACCAGTTTTGTCCTTCACCCTAACAGGAACATATTGTCTCTGGACTCTCGTTATCTCATTTTTGAAGGCTTCCCACTTTCCTGCCATCTCTTTACCTGCGAATATTCACCCCCAATCAACGTTTGGAAGTTCTTGCCTAATACCGTCAAAATTGGCCTTCCTTGACTTTAGCATTTTAACTTTTAGATCCTGTCTATCCAATTCCATCACTATTTAAAACTAATAGAATTATGATTACTTGGCCCAAAGTGCTCCCCCACTGACACCTCAGTCACATGCCCTGCCTTATTTCCCATGAGAAGATGAAGGGGTGTTTTGTTCCTTTTCTAGTTGGTACATCCACATACCGAATCAGAAAATTTTCTTATACACACTTAACAAACTCCTTTCCATCCAAGCCCTTAACACCATGGCAGTCCGAGATTATGTTTGTGAAGTTAAAACATCCTACCATGACCACCTTATTATTCTTACAGATAACTGAGATCTCCTTACAAGTTTGCTTCTCAATTTCCTGGGTGTCGACAGTACAATCCCAATCAGGTGATCATTCCTTTCTTATGTCTCAGTTCCACCCAAATAACTTCCCTGGATGTACTCCCCGGAACGTTATCCGTAATTGAAAATGCCACACCCCCACCTCCATTGTGCCACCGCCCCTGCTTCCCCCCACCCCCCCCCCACCCCCCCCCCCCCCCCCCCCCCCCAATCCTGCCTGTTCCATCTACACCCTGGAATATTAAGCTGTCAGTCCTGTCTATCCCTGAGCCACGTCTCTGTTATACATGTGACATCCCAGTTCCACATTACCAACCATGCCCTGAGTTCACGTGCTTTACCTGTCAGGCTGCATGCATTGAAATAAATGCAGTGTAATTTAATCCGTCCTACCTTGTTCTCTGCTTTGCTCCTGCCTGCCTTGAGTATTTGACTTGGCCTATTCCCAACAGCACCAGCCTCAGACTGATCTCTTTTCTCACTGTTTCTCTGGGTCCCACCTCCTTCCCTCCCACCCTCCAACTTACTGATTTAAATCCTCCTGGGTGGCTCTTGCAAATCTCCCTGCCAGTATACTAGCCCCCTTCCAATTCAGGTGCAACTCCTCCTCCTTATACAGGTCACTGCTACTCCAGAAGAGATTCCAATGATCCAAAAATATGTATCCTTCTCCCCTGTGTCAGCTACTCAGCCATGCTGTCATCTGCTCTATCCTCCTATTCCTACTCTCACTAGCACATGACACCAGGAATAATCCAGATATTACTACTCTCAAGGACCTACTTCTTTCTTTCAAATTCCTGCCTAATTTCCTATATTCTCTCGTCAGAATCTCATCCTTTTCTCTTCGCATGTTGTCAGTTCCAATGTGTGCAATGACCTCCCACTGCTCTCTCCCCACTTTGAAAATATTTTGCACCCTCTCCAAGACATCCTTGACCCTGGCACCCAGGAGGGAACACACCATTCTGATGTCTTGCTATCGGCTGCAGAAACATCTGGCTGTGCCTCTGACCACCGAGTCCCCTATCACAATATTTCACTTGGAACCTGCCATTCCCCTCATTACATTAGACCCAGTCTCGGAACCAGAAACCTGGCTGTCAGTGCTACATTCTCCTGAGAGTTCATCATCGCCTACATTCTCCAAAACAGCATACTTGTTTGAGATAGAAATAGCCATAAGAGACTCCTGAACTACCTACCTACCTCTCCTACCTTTCCTAGAGGTAACCCATCTACCCAACTGCTTTTGCAGTTTTTCTACCTTCCTGGAAATGCCATTCATCATACCCCCAGCTCCTGTAAATTCCTCACTGCCTCTAACTGCCATTCCAACCCTTCCATGTGATCCAATAGGATTTGCACCCAAACACACTTCCTACAGAAGTAATCATCAGTAACATTGAAATTCTTCCTAATCTCCTACATCTGACAGGAAGAGTATATCACTCCACTTAAGGCCATCTTTGTACCTGAACAACTTACAGACCCATAAAATAGAATGGTCTTACTGCTCTAAAAACACTTGCTAAGGGTAACTTGGGGGTATATGTTTTATATTTTAAAGAAGAGTTTAATGAAACATACATGAGAAAAATTCACTCTACTCACTACTGTAGATTTACACAACAACAGAATATGGTTAGACTTTAAAAAAAAGCTGTTCCCCTGCTGTCAGCAGCTCCCGATACGGAGGTTCTCCAAGGCCAGTGGTGAATTTCACTATTTGTTTATTTCTCTTAGGCCGAACTCCGATTTCCAAAGACACTTGATTGATTGATGGGATTTTTCCTAAACTAAAACAAACATTCATTTTTCTAAACCAAAAGTAAGCTAATTGGCTCTCTCCAATCAGAAAAAAAACATAGCATCCAGACAAATTCATATTATCGCTTCTGAAAAATCCCAGTTACCCACACTCTGAGACATACAGGTTCCAAATTACAGCACCAGAAATACTGAGTGGATTATTAAACCCCTTCATAATAACAGATCAAAGCACATACCACTAGTTCAAAATCAACTTCAGAATAAATTATGTACATATATACATATAAAAATAAATCACAGACCTTACATGACAATTGCTATGAGTCATCTGTTTTTTTCAATTCCTGACAACAAGGTTTTGAGAGCGTAGGCCTCAGAAACCAACATTTTGGTGCTCCAAGTTAGCTCGAGGTTATTTGCTGTGCAATTCAAGAGATGTCCAAAGGTGCTCACTCCTTTCCGTACATGTGTACTGAGCTCTGCTTCAAGGAGACATGACCTCATCACAGGCTCAAGATCACAGAAGTTGTTAACCACTTCAAACAGGATGTTCTTTAGCCCAATCATGGCATGGATGCGTTGATACTTATGGCCAGGGACAGCAAGCGACATAGGGCAGAGAGTCCACGAGCCTTTGTCGACCAGTTTGTGAAAGCGACTAGCGCACTGTCATCAGTATAGGACAGGAGAATCCTCTGGTCAAAGACAGGTTTGGTTCTGTCTTCGTTTTCAGTCTGGATTGATTGTAGAACTCACTGTCTGACCCGGGATACAGGGAAACTCTCTTGTATCAGTGGGGAAAGCGAAGGTTGACAGAATGAAGAAGAAAATGCCAAACTAAGCAGGGACCCCGACACCAACTGATTTTACTTCGTTCTTCATCCTAAAGCTGTCAGATGTGATGCTGTCAATCTGTGCAATAAACAGCATGAATGAAACAGTTGAGCCGAGGAGATTTGTTGGACAAAGCTTTTTTGATTATCTCCTTTGTCAGCTTTCTATTTGGAAATTGATGATTTTTGTGTTTCCCTTCCACAGGACATGCGATTCCCTCCCCACCTCCAAACACATTTCTCGAATTCAGGATCACAGTTGGCACTTTTAAAAAGGGACACTGCAGTCTCAAAAATCAGGAACAAATCCAGAATACCAAAATCCATCCAGTTAAAGGTGTGTTCACATCGGGAGAAACAAATCTAACATTCTCAGACTGCCAATCCTGGAAGTGATCAACAACAACAACAGCAGAATCCAATTCTTTCAGAGGATATGGAAATCACTGGCTGGGCCACCATTAGTTGCCCTGGACAATACGGTGGTGAGTTTCCTCAAACTGCTGCAGTATACTAGTTATTCAGGTTCACTTGTGAACTCGCTTAAGTGTCAATAGGTTGAAAGGACCAAGTGATTCGCTTCCCCCACACACAGAGCAGATGAACAGCCTCTCTCCGGATTGAACTCATTGCTGAGCAAGTAGAAAGGATGAACGCCTGAAATGCTTCCCACAGGAAGTAGAACTGAATGGCTTTTCCTCGTGTGAATTAGTTGGCGAGACTAATTTCCACACACAGGGCAAGTGAATGGTTTCTCCCCCATGTGAATTTGCTGGTGTGCAATGAGGGTGGATGACTGCCGGAAATCTTTCCCACAGAAAGTGCAGGCTTACTTCCAGTGTGAACTCACTGGTGTCTCAGCAAACTGGATGACTGAGTGAAGCACTGCCCACACAGAGAGCAGGTGAATGGCTTTTCCCCAGAGTGAACTCCTGGTGTTCAACAAGGGCAGATGAATGTCTGAACTTCTTTCCACAGGACATGCAGCTGAATGGTTGCTGCTCAGTGTGATTGAAGGCCACACAAATGAGGGAATCTCTTTCCACACACAGAACAGGTAAATAGCTTCTCCCCACTGTGAACTCATAGGTGTATATTCAGGTCAGATAAAGACATGAATCTTTTCGTACCATAAAGTACAGCTAATGGCCTCTCCACAGTGTGAATCCGCTGGTGTAACACGAGGCAGGATGTCTGTGTAAATCTCTTCCCACACTCTGAACAGGTAAATGTCTCTCATCAATGTGAATTCTTTAATATGACGTGAGTTTCATTGCCTGCTTGAATACCTTCCTGTAAACACGGAACAGGTAAATGGCTTCTCCCCAGTGTGAATTTGTCCATGGACTTCCAGCTGCGATGAATAATTGAATCTTTTACCACAATCCTCATATTTCCACTGTTTCTCCATGGGGATGTCATCTTTGTATCTCTTCAGGATGGGCGATCAATTGAAGTCTTGACCGCACACAGATTGATCATAGTATCTCCCCACTGCAAATGTTTTCCCATTCTTCTTGACTGGTTAAAGTTCTTTCCACAGGAAATTCATTTGAATGCCCTCATGTGGAATGTTCTTCCCCCAGACTGCTCGCTGGAACACACTCAGGTGTGCGTGTCTATCACTGGGTTCTCTTCACTCACACCAATGTTTGAAATCATTTCCCACAGACAGGACAAACATTTCTCCTTCCACATTCAGAGGCTGTAGGTACTCAGGTCGTGATGATTTGCATGAGTCAACCAGACCCTGGCGGGAAATTTGATTTGTGTTTCATATCCCCGAAGACTTCTCTTCATTTATCCTGCATAAGGAGTTTACTAAAGTCATCACGGTCAGCGTCGGATAGAAACTCAGAAGTCAGTTCAAGTTTGTAAGGAACATTATTTTCCTCTCTTGTTCCCCAAATCAGTAAATCTCAGTTCCACAGCCCCTCCTTTCTCTTTGGACTGAAATCCAAATCCATCTCCCCATCGCTTTCCTCCAGTCCCAGTTTTCTCCCTCCGTCGAGTTTCAATTCTCCAGCCTCGGTCTGCAGACTGAGAATCAAATCAACGAGTTTGATTTGGGGTTGCAGAGACGGGGGTTTTCCAGTGGGTGGTGGTGAATCCTCCCCGCCCACCTCTGCCAGGGTTTCCTTCCTGATCAGAGACTCTCATTGATTTCCCCGCAAAGTGCGGCGCGCCTTTCCTTTACCAAGATGGCGGCCGGTTACCCGGGTAACCAGTGTCAAGCGCCGCCTTCACAAAGATGGCGGCCAGTAACCCCACCCGGCGACTTCAGGCCTCCCCCACTATTTTATAAACTCCCCAGGACCCCTTCACTCGTCGTTTCAATTCCTACCATGTCTCACAATCTCCTCCGTCGGAGACCGGAGCGGGATCTTGTCTCTCGGGCCTGGTCACCTCCCCAGGACATCGCTGAAGCCTTCGCGATATCCCACCTCCCATACTGGGCTTCCCCGACTCCAAACCTCTCTGAGACAGATTGTCCTGGGTGCCTGATGTCAGTTCCGGATCAAAAGGAAGTAGGTACGGCTGGAGGTCCGTTACTGGAACGGATGGTCCTCCAGCCAATCGGAGACAATGAGGGGCGGGGTGATGTTGCGGACCACACCCAGGAACCTGAATTGTTTCCAGTTGACCCGTTGTTTCTGATGAATTTGTTCAGAGATGCTATTCCAAACTTCTGGGGCAGCTAGGTCTTATACCCGGGCCTCCCGGTCCAGGGTCAGGGACACTACCATTGCACGACAAAAGGCCTATAAAAATGCTGTACCCTCCCCGGTGGGGAATTAAACCCCAGTCTTCGGTGTGACAATCTGCTCCCAGGATGAGGCATTCCACTCCCGTACATCTCAGTTGTCCTCGTTTTTCAAGGACCGTAACTTCCCCCCCTCAGTGGTCGAGAACGCCCTCAACCCTGTCTCCCACATCTCCCGCAACTCATCCCTCACACCCCGTCCACGCAATAAGAACCAAAAAAGAATCCCCCTCGTCCTCACAAACCACCCCACCAACCTCCGGATCCAACGCATCATCCTCCGACACTTCCGCCATCTGCAATCCAACCCCGCCACCAAAGACATCTTTCCTTCCCCACCCTTATCTGCTTTCCGGAGGGACCATTCTCTCCATGACTCCCTTGTCCGCTCCACACTCCCCTCCAGCCCCACCACACCCGGCACTTTTCCCTGCAATCGCAGGAAGTGCTACACCTGCCCCCATACCTCCTCCCTCACCTCCATCCCAGGCCCCAAGAAGACTTTCCACATCAAGCAGATGTTCACCTGCATATCTGCCAATTTGGTATACTGCATCTGCTGTACCCGGTGTGGCTTCCTTTACATCGGGGAAACCAAGCGGAGGCTCGGGGACTGCTTTGCAGAACACCTATGCTCGGTTCGCAATAAACAACTGCACCTCCCAGTCGCGAACCATTTCAACTCCCCCTCCCATTCCCCTGGGCCTCCTGCAGTGCCACAACGATGCCACCCGAAGGTTGCAGAAACAGCAACTCATATTCCGCTTGGGAACCCTGCAGCCCAATGGAATCAATGTGGATTTCACAGGCTTCAAAATCTCCCCTCCCCCTACCGCATCCCAAAACCAGTCCAGCTCGTCCCTGCCTCCCTAACCTGTTCTTCCTCCCACCTATCCCCTCCTCCCATCTCAAGCCGCACCCCCATCTCCTACCTCCTAACCTCATCCCGCCCCCTTGACCTGTCCGTCCTCCCTGGACTGACCTATCCCCTCCCTAACTCCCCACCTACACTCACCTGTACTGGCCCCATCCCCGCCTCTTTGACCTGTTTGTTTCCTCTCCACCTATCCTCTCCTCTATCCATCTTCTATCCGCCTCCCACTCTCTCCCTATTTATTTCAGAACCCCCTTCCCCTCCCCCTTTTCTGATGAAGGGTCTCGGCCCGAAACAGCAGCCTTTCTGCTCCTATGATGCTGCTTGGCCTGCTGTGTTCATCCAGCCCTGCACCTTGTTGTCACGGTCTTATTTGCTGCCTACATATTACCTACATATGATTCCAGACCCACGGCAATGTAGTTGAAACTTAACCCCCCACTTTGGGCAATCAGGGAATGGGCAATAAATGCTGCCTAGCTATTGATGCCCTTGCCCCATGAAAGAATAAAGAACAAAGAGACAACAAGTGGTTGAGGTGAACACCAGGAATATATTTAAGGAGAAGCTAGATACATACGTGAGGGAGAAAGGAATAGAGGATGTGCTGATGGGGGCGATGAAGGAGGGAAGGTGGAGGTGCACGTGGGGTATAAATACTAACAGGGACCAATTGGATCAACTGGCTTGGCCTTGTGCTGCAGATTCACTGGGACAGAGACATGTATTTGTTTCATATTTTGTAGTGGGAAGAAATATTATTTACAGTTGAGGATGAAATAAATATCTTTCATCAGCTTTTGGGGATCATTTCAATGGGAATGTGCAGTCCCAGACTCAAACAGCATCAGCCTCACTGGAAGCAAAGTGTTGAAAGTGGCCAGTCCAGCAGAAAGAAACCCTCTGACACTCCCACTTCACCCACTGTCCAAATGAACATGGATCAGTCTTGGACATGATTTTCCCTCATTTTAAAGTACATTCATGGATACAGTATCAATGTTTAGGTCTGCATTTATTGCCAATCCCAAATTGTCCTGCTTGAGAAGGTGCTGGTGTTCTGCCTCCTGGGATAGCCACAATGCTGTTAGAGGGGAGTTCCAGGATTTTGCCCAGTGACAGTGAAGGAACAGCCAATATTATTCCAAGTGAGGATGGTGCCCAACATGGAGGGGAGCTTGCAGGTGGTTATGGTCTCATGTAACTGCTGCCCTTGTTCTTCTACATTTTAGAGGTTAAGCATTAATGTTGTTGCTGATTAACAGCAGATCCAACCCCTGTACTCACTTGTGAATTCACTCATGTTTTTGCAGATTTGATGACTGAGTGAATTGCTTCCCGCACTCAGAACAGATGAATAGTCAGTCCCCAGTATGAACTCGCTGGTGTTTCTGTAGATCAGATAAATCCCTGAATTGCTTCCCAGATGGAGCATTTAAATGGTTTCTTCCCAGTGTGAATTCACTGGTGTCTCAGCAAGTTTGATGACTGAGTGCATTCTTTTCCACAATCAGAGCAGGTAAATGGACTCTCGGTATTGTGAGTCTGCATCTGCATCTGCAGACTGCATAACTGTATGAATACTTTTCTGCAGTCCAAGTAGGTAGATGGAGTCTCACCAGTGTGAGCTCACTGGTGTCTCAACAGGGTGAAATATTCACTCAATTTCTTCCCACACTCAGAGCAGATGAATGGCCTCTCTCCAGTGGCAGCAAACTGGTGTTTGTGCAGGGTAGACAGGTCAAGAAATTCTTTCCCACAATCCAAGCAGGTGAATGGCCTTCTCCCTGTTGACAGGGAATGGAATCCCTTCCCACAGTGGGTCTAGATGGGGTGCTCTTCGGGGAGGCGTGAAGTTGTTCCTTGAAACATTAACTCGTGTTTTTCTCTCCACAGATGCTGCCAGACTTCCATGATAAAACAGCTCTCTAGTTGATCAGTGATAATGCTTTTACTGAATGACTGGGACCCAGTAATTTCAATAATTTCAGTTCATTTAAAAAATAGCAAATCTCTTCCCCAAATATATATCTTTTACAAGACTTTTCACACACAAAAACAGACTGAGATGTACATCTGCAGGAAGTATTTGTGGTGGGGGTGGAGGGGAAGGGGCAGTTTCTCTCAACCTTGAGATGGAGTTGTTAGACCTCACCTCACTGGAATATTGGTGTAATTAATGAGATTTAAGATTGCCATATTGCACTTTGTGTAAACTCAGTGATAAAAATTCATAAATTGTTGTCATTTTAAGGGTCAGATGCTGTAGTGTGGCTGTAAGAGAAAAAAAAACTGAATTTCTTGTCAGAAAGAGGTCAAAGCACTGGGTCACCCTGTTTAGATACAAACTATATTTAGCTATTGGCAAGGACACAAAGCTGGATGACTCATGGGAAGAGATCTGAGCATCATATTGTTGTGGAAGTCAAAAATACACAGATTTAGGTTAGATTTGTCTGTAATAAATCCATATGTATGATTAGAGATTTGCCATAAAATAGCTGGATTAGTATTAGATCAGTAAAACCCAGTACGTGCGCTAAAGTTCATTCTCTTAAAAACAGTGAAAGTGATAAGTTTTGGTTAGGAATCTATTTTCAGGGGATGGAAATGCAGGCAGAGAAAAAAGAAAGCAACAACAGTTGAACAGTGTGCAGATCGAGCAGTTCAGGTAGATTAGAACATTCAACTTTTCAGGAAGGCTGAAAAAGTAATTTAGAAATGTTGAGCCTGCAAAGGAATTGGTGTATCTGTGAAAGTTCAGGTAAACATTGAAGGAGACAGTGATCCAAAAAAACTAAGGTAAAAAAAAAAGAGACTCCAGAAGTGCTATGACCCACAGAAATCACAGCGATGTGCACTGACCTCATGTCTCAACTACTGGAATATTGAATACTAATTGTTGTTGCAAAATAAGCCTGTTGGTTCACTTTCAAATTCAGTGATTGTTCTTACCATCAGAATGGTTATTGTCAACAAGAATGTTCGCATTCTAGGGTTGAGAATTCAGTCCAAATCTGGTCATCACTTTCTGATTGGTTTCTCCAGCCTCACTGTCTTTGGAGATTCTCATTGACCAACTCTGCTCACTTTTCTCCCTGAGCAGCAAGCTAGGTCATTATGATCCCAGGGCTGTGAACATTTAAGGGGAAATATGAATACTCAGTAAGCATTTCAGAGATTTAGGCACCACTTCCCAAAACAAACTCCACCATACATAATCAAAAAAAACAAAATAAGCCCTCTGACATTCACCATGACCCTATACATCTATGGATGCTTTGACCCCAGTTTTACTTTTATTCCCTAAGAGTTTCCTCATTTCCAAAAAATCTTGAAGGTCCATTCATTTATTTGGGGACAAACCAGAAAGTTATGACACAGGCCTCTGATATTCGCTCTGATTTCTCAGTTGGGCATGTAGTCATAGAATCCCTACAGTGTGGAAACAGGCCCTTCGGCCCAACAAGTCCACATTGACACTTGCAGCATCCCACCCAGACCCATCCCCCCTATAACCCACCTAAGCTACACATCCATGGACACTAGAGGGCAATTTAGCATGGCCAATCCACCTAACCTGCACATCTTTGGACTGTGGGAGGAAGCTGGAGTACCCGGCGGAAACCCATGCAGACACAGGGAGAATGTGCAAACTCCATGCAGACAGTCACCTGAGGGTGGAATTGAACCTGGGTCCCTGGCACTGTGAGGCAGCAGTGCTAATCACTGAGCCACTGTACCACCCTCTAATAGTTGTCCAGAATTCTTTTGCTCGGAGAAGATTCAAATATCTGCACTGTCAGAACCAATTGGAAAAAGCATTTGGTTCACCATAAAGACCAACAACTTAATACTTCATTGGTTACCATCTTCCTTGGTCACATTATCAAAATCCATTTTATGTTCAAGAGCAGGGTTTCATATTTTTGGTTGGTCTGACCTTCAGTTCTCCTTGATCCCATTGAAAAGAACATTTATTTCACTCTTTGTGAGTGTCATCAACACATTCATAAGTTGGACTTTCATTTTTCTTTGTACTTCGAGCCTTCCACACAATTCGTTGTGAGTTGTTCATTGCTGAACTCCTTACTGTTGTATTCTGTAATGTTTCAGCACTGGAATACATCCCTAATTCAACAACAAAAACAGAAATTGCTGGAGAAACTCAGCAGGTCAGGCAGCATCTTTAGAGAGAGACCAGAGACATTTTGAGTTAAGATCCATTCTGAGGAAGGGTCATTGGACTCAAAGCATTAACTCTACTTTCTCTCCACAGATGCTACCAGATTTGCTGAGTTTCTCTAGCAATTTATGTTTTTTCCAGCGTCCACACTTCATTGTTTTATTTTACATTTAATTCAATCTTAAGTGTTATGGTCAGTTCAAGGTCACTGAGGCCTTTGTCTATGCCATTGAACATATATAATTTGTGATTCTGCAGACACTTTTGCTGCCTGAGTACAGTCCATAACTGAAGTAGATACATCAGTATTTTTATTTGAATCAGTTCTTCGCTCAGATGGATTACAAATAGGCAAGGAATGTTTACTCACCGACATAGCTCCTGAACTAGGAGGGGAGGTGATGGCCTATTGGCATTATTGCTGGACTATTAAGCCAGAGACCAGACAACATTCTGGGGACCCAGTTCAAATCCAGCCGCAACAGAAAGTGGAATTTGAATTCAACAAAATATCTGGAATTAAGAATCAAGAATCTAATGATGACTGTGTGTCAATTGTCCATTGTCAATTGTCAGGAAAAAAAAAACATCTGGTTCATGAATGCCCTTTAGGGAGGGAAACTGCTATCCTTATCTGGCCTACACGTGACTCCAGACCCACAACAATGTGGTTGACGCTTAATTGCCCTCTGGGCAATTAGGGATGGGCAATAAATGCTACCTTGCTAGCGATGCCCTCATCCTGTGAATGAATAAAAAAAATACTGTGGCTCACCATCACAAGTTGTGGAAACACTATGCACCCCATTATATCAATTCCAATGTATCATCCACTGATTCATTTGTAAGTTGGAAACAACACCAGAAATAACACTCATTTACCAGAACACAATCTAAAATCATTCTAAAAAATGAGGTACACACAATTACTAAAAATTCACTGTATTAATACAACAAACGTCTTGAAGAAAAGTCAATCTATTTCTCATAACAAAATTTGTGCCGAGTCTGTAACTCCCGGGATTAAAATCTTTCTCACTTCCATCTTTGAGAAAAATGGAGAAACTTCCCTTCAAACAGTAATCCACCAGACTCCCTTCTGTCTCTATTTTTGCCTATGGTGAATCCATAAGAAGGTAAGATTGATCACAAGTATACCTCTTTGGTACAACTTTCTCTGGAGAAACACTAGCCATTTTCTCTAACACTGCTGGTTAACTTTTCAATCTCTGGCAATTTGCCTTGAAATATTCATCCCTAAGACAGGGAAAACCCATCAGTCCAAGACAGGGAAAACACATCAGTCCTTTTGATTCACTTCCATCTTCAACACTTTCTCAGCACCTCAGTGAGAACAGATTATTGACTTCAGAAAGAAAAGAGGAGAACACGTGCCCACGTACATCAACAGAGCAGAGATTGAGAAGGTTGAGACCATTAAGTTCCCAGAAGTGACGATAACCGATGACCTGTCCTAGACTTCCAACGTAGATGCAACAGTGAAGAAGGCACAACAATTCCACTCCTTCCTCAGGAGGCTTAGGAAATTCAGCATGTCCATAAGGACTCTTACCAACTTTTATAGATGCACCACAGAAAACATACCGTCTGGGTGCATGACAGCCTGGTGTGGCAGCTGTTCTACTCAGGACCGCAAGAAATGGCAGAAGGTTGTGTACGCAGCCCAGACAATCACGGAAGCCAACTTCCCATCCATAGACTCCATTTACACCTCTCAGTGCTGCAGAAAGGCTGCCAACATCATTAAAAACCCATCCCACCCTGGTAATGCTCTCCTGCAATTTTTTCCATCAGGCGGAAGATACAGAAGCTTGAACATGTACCAACAGGTTCACGAACAATTTCTTCTCTCCTGAATGGACTCGTTGATCTTGCTTCATGCACACCCTGTGCAGTGTAACCTGTATGCCTTGCTCTGTCCAAGTATTTTTTTTCTCACCCTATAATCTGTATGTCCTTGATTACTATGATCTGCCTGTACTGTGCACAAACAAAGTTTTTGACTGTACTTAGGTACTCCTGACAATAAATCAAATCAATCAATCTGTGCTTTCACTTCAGCTGCTTTTCCATGCTAGTTTGATTCCTGTTCACCCTCCACTGGTTCCACTTTCCCTTCTGGGTTTGTAACTAATAGTTTGCTGCCATCGAGATGTCTGTGAGAACTGAAGAAGGGTCAGTGGACCCGAAACGTTAACTCTGCATTCTCTCCACAGATGCTGCCAGATCTGCTGACTTTTCTCCAGCAATTTCTGTTCTTCTTTCTGATTTCCAGCATCTGCATTTGTTTGGTTTGCTGTTAACTATTCAATTTGCTACTTGCTGCCACAAAGCTCACTGCCTCTCACAGAGGTCACCTCTGGGGATTTCTTCCCCTCAAGCAGAGCTAGGCAAATTGCCCTGCTTTATTTCCCCTCAAAAACTCCACCAAGTAAGCTATAGATTACTCAAAAGCAAATCTGCAATAGCTTGCCATGGGAAACCCAAAATATGTTCAGCAAAAGAACCTAGTAAGTCCCACAACCCATATCTATGGCAGTATAATGTGCTGAATGTGGTTCCAAAGAGAAATGCAAATTAAATGCTGCATACTTCAAAGCACTCATTCAATCTGTCTTGTATCCTTCAAGGTTCGATAATCAGTTCGAGCCTCATTGACACACAGAGCGCATGTACAGTCTCTCCATGCTCTTAATGGTGTGATTTTGTGGTGACTGTTTAGCTGGTTAGAGCCCTTTCCAAAGGACCTACACTGGAACACTCTCACTACTGTGCATAGGACATATTGTTTATCTGGTGACTTAAAACTTTTGAAGCAGCCAGAACTGTCAAACATTTCTGCTTCTCGATTCACAGGCCAATGAATTTCAGGTCCTAAAGAATCAAATTGCTGTGCAAAACAAAATCATAAAAATCATCATCATTGTCAGTCCAGGATAGAGAGTCAGAAAATACAATTCCACTTTTAATCAAACATTCTTTACTCTCTTGTTTCTGAAAAATCTCGTGTCCCAACACATTGTCTCCAACAAAAACAGAAGTTGCTGGAAAAGCTCAGCAGGTCTGGCAGCATCTATGAAGACAAAATCAGAAGTTCCAGTTCTGAGGAAGGGTCACTGGACCCAACGTTAACTCTGATTCTGTCTTCACAGATGCTGCCAGACCTGCTGAGTTTTCCCAGCAACTTCTGTTTTTGCTCCTGATGGACAGCATCCGCAGTTCTTTTAGCTTTTGCATTGTCTCCAATCGCACCTGATATGCACTCTCTAAATTCTCCTAAAGGTGATGATTCCTGCTGAGTGACAGACCCATGTTTGCTGTAATATATGGATTTTGGTGAACTAAAATCAGTAATGCAAAAAATAATTTGATTTGAGCAGTAAGCCACCATGACCTGGACCGCTGCCTTTCTTCACTCAAAGGATGTGAACATCATTGGCTAGGCCAGCATTTATTGCCTTTGTCTAACTGCTCATGACATTGTGGGTGTGAATGGTCACCAGCACTTTTGCTGTCTGACACTGGCATATTCACTGTGAATGATGAAGCTAATTCCAGGGCAATGAGAGGGAGAAGATAACGCAGTGTGGAGCTAGAGGAACAAAGCTTTCCTGCTCTTTTAATGCTGCCTGGCCTGCTGTGTTCCTCCAGCTCCAAACTGGGTTATCTCTGACTCCAATATCGGCAATTCTTATCATCTCTGAGACAGAGGGCGGATCCCACCATAACGTCACAAAGTGGCTGGGCTGATTGACGACAGCTCACCGACCAATAGGAGAGGGGAGGGCGGGGCGGGAGGACCAAGCGGCTGCGGCTGGTCTTCCAACCAATAGAAGTGGACGAGGGGCCGGAGAACACGTGATCATTTACGCGGGCCCAGTGCCGCTGTGACAGGCGCCTCAGTAAATTCTGGAGACAGAGACAGAAAAGCGGGTACCGGAGAAAAACGGAGTCAGTTTGGAGTAGGAGGTTTTATGAACACCTGGCGAAGGCCGCTAGACCCGAATTAGAGACTCTCGGACCTGCGTTTGTAGCAAACGTGATAACAACTGCGGGTCTCCGGCAGTGACAGGTCCCGGTAACCGCCGCCATCTTTATTGGGGGCGAGGTTCACCAACGCGCACGCGCGTGCTTCCAGGGTGCAGGCGGGGCGATTTGAAGAGAGCGTTTATACTGCAAACAACTCAAGAGAAATGTTTATCTTTTCTAGATTTGTATCCTGGACTGACAGTTTTTTTTTTTCTATGAATTCGTTTCACAGGATATTAATGGAGAATAATTTGCAGACCGGGATCTCAAAATAAGTCCTGACAGTCAGAGGAATCATCAGGATCTGAATATCATTGGCATTTAATTGTGAAAGGATAAAGGTTTGTCTGTTCTGTCTGTGGGAAAATATCTCCCATACGTTTGTAACTCTAAAAGCAGCAAGATGTTCCAGTTCGTGGTTAGATCACCCGTGAGGTATGTGCTCGGTTCTGGGCCCTGCAGCTGAGGAAGGACATATTAGCCTGAGAGAGGGAGCACAGACTTATCCAAATTACACCTCGTCTTTTTGAAAGAACTAACATATTTAGTCCCAGTCACCAACTTCATGATTTAAACATATAATTTCCTCATTCTCAAATACCTGCAAACTTACTTTTAAAATTCCTTACGGACTGAAATTCTAGCACTCTTTTTCAGATGGAACATTCCAGATCCTGACAAATCTTTGTTGATGCAGAAACTGAAGTCCATGTTCAGTTGGGAGGGTTATAAAGTGCTGAATTGCATGTGTTGTTTGGCTCAATGTGAGTGCTTTGGAGTTGGGTGAAACTAGAGAGGGAGGTGAGACACGGAAAGGTAAAGCTGAAAGATTGAGTGTGGTGCTCAGTCAAAGTTTGGGCAGTTCAGAAAGTGATACGGTCACAATGGAAAGAGCCAATTGGTAAGTGATACCTGCAGAGTATTTTCTTGTAGTTTTGAAGTATAATGTATCAGCTTATGTAAAGGCAGGGGCTTTCAATCAAAACAGACATGTTTGAAAGGAAGGAATATCCTTAGGTCCATTAAATTCTTTTAAAGGGAGTAACTAGCTTAAATTACAAAAGAAGTCATGACAGGAGGCATCAGACTCCTGGTGTGCTCCTCTTCACAATGTGGGAAATAAGGGAAGCTTCCAGTGTCCCTGACAACTACATGTGGAGGAAGTCTGTCCATCTCCACCAATTGGCGAACCACTTTTCCGAGCTGGTGCTGTGAGTGGGACTCACTTTGAACCATCCGCAACACTGAGAATATACTGGACAGCACCTGTAGTGAGTTGATCACAAGGCAGGTGAGAATTGCACAGGCAGAAAGTAAATGGGTGACCAGCAGATAATGGAAAAGGCACATGAAGGAAGTGCAGGCGTCCCCAGTGGTCATCCCCTTTTCAAACAGATATTGTACTTTTCATGCTGTTGGGGATAGTCTGGGCTGGTCTCAGTGGAAATCGGCAACAGCCACGTTTGTGGCACCACAGGTGGCTCTGCTGCACAGAAGGAGAGCAAAACGAGCGCCAGGGCTATTGTGATAGGAGATTCAATAGTCGGGGATACAGACAGGCGGTAGACATGAATCCTGGATGGTATCTGACCTGCCTGGTGCCAGAATCAGGGATATCACAGAGCGGCTGCAGGACATACTGGAGCTGGAGGGTGAACACCCAATGGTCGTGGAACACATGGGTTCCGTGACACAGCTAAACAAAGGGATGAGGGCCTGAAAGCTGAATGTAGGCAGATAGGAGATACATTAAACTACAGGATCTGAAAAATAAGAATGTCAGACTTACTCCCAGTGCAATGTGCTAACGAGAGCAGGGACAAGAGGACAGATCCGATGAGTCTGGAGAAATGGTGTACCAGAGAAGAGTTTAGATTCTTGAGGTATTGGGACCGTTTCTGTGTGAGTTTGGACCTGTGCATTTGCCCCTGGGCAGAGCTGGGACAAACCTCTTGGCGGTGGGGAGGTGGGGGGGTGCTTTTGCTCATTCCATTGGTGAGGTTTTAAATTAGAATAGCAGGTGAATGGGATCTAAAATGTAGGCTTAAATGGATCAGATACAAATTGGGAATTGGGAGGTAGAATATTAGTTAGTAATGCAGTCAGCGGTTCAGAGAAACAAAAGAAAGGAGGATGAAACAAGGATAGATTTTTTTTGTTTTTCTCTTCATACATCAGTCCTAACATTCCAGGAATGAGGTGGGCAAAGTTTCTGTACAATCTCTCGATAGCCACAGCAACCTTTGTCGGGAATGGAGAACAACGGTGCACACAATACCCCAGGTGTGGGCTCACCACAACCCCTACAGAAACATTATCCCTGCTCCTATACTCGAATCCTCTCACTAAGAAGGCCAATTTGTATTCTTCACTGCCTGCCATCCCTGCCTGCTTACTAAAAGAGAGAATCACAGATAAACACGGAACAAAGTGGGGTCAGAGTCTCAGGCACAAAACTGTCGATCACAATGACCCCCGTCATATCCATATCAAGCACCTATTTACTCTAGTCCCATTTTCCAGCACTCCGAATGTAACCTATGTTGTAATGCCTTGTATGATCATCGAAAATACTTCAAGGTTGCAATGGTTCCTGCATCTGTCACCATTTCAGATGCTGCTGACCCTGTTGAATAGCACCTGCATTTTCTGTTTTTATTTCAGATTTCCAACATTTTGCTTAATCATTCAATCATGGAGTTATACAGCACGAAAACAGACCCTTCAGTCCAGCTCATCCATGCCAAACAGACATCCCAGACTGATCTCATCCCATTTTCCAGCATTTCACCCATATCCCTCTAAATACTTCCTAATCATGTACCCTTCCAGATACCTTTTAAATGTTGTACATGTACCTGCCTCCAACCACCTCCTTTGGCAGTTCATTTCATACATGCACCACCATCTGTGAAAAGATGGTCCCTGAGGACCTTTCCCTTCTCACTTTGAACCTATGTCCTCTAATTTCGGACTCCCCTATGCTGGGAAATAGACCTTCGCTATTCACCTGATCCATATCCTCATGATTTTATAAACCTCTATATGGTCACCCCTTAGTCTCTAACACTCTAGTGAACAAAGCCCCAGCCCATTCATCCTTTCCCTATAGCTCAAACTTTCCCAGCACACAACCTTGTAAATCTTTTCTAAAGCCTTTCAAGTTTTCCTATAGCAGGGACACCAAGACCAAGATTGAATGCAATTTTCTGAGATTCTTTAGGCCAATGTCCTATAGAGCCACAGCATAACCAATAAAGGCAAGCATGCCAAATGCTGCCTTCACCACCCTGTCTCCCTGCAACTCCACTTTAAAGAAACTATATACATGTTCTTAGCTCCTCAGAGGGATTGAAGGGGAGAAAACAGGAACAGGATTGAGTTATACATCTACGAAATGCCTCTCCTTCATGCCTGTCTCTCCTACCTCTCTGTCTGCAGTTTTGTGCAAACACTGACTGGTTCCCTTCTCTGAAGGACATTTATAAACCAGTTCAGTTTTAATTATAATTCAGCAGTTCCCCTCAGTGCAATCTCCACAACTGACCAGATTAATTTGTCACAGTTTCACAACCTGTGTGTTCCTCTGGTTTCTCCAAATATGTTTGTTTTGTGTTTGAAAGGGTGATCTGCAATTAGAGACTTCAAATGAAACCACACCCAGATCTGACAGTCACTGTTTATCACAACCTAATCATCTCAGAATTTTGAACATTGAAGGAAGAAGCATATATCTTCTGTACGTGGGAGAGTCTGTGAAATTCACCTGAAATGTCCAAACGCCAGCGCAGACACACTGGGGAGAGAATGTGGAAATGTGTGGATTGTGGGAAGGGATTTTTTTACCCATCCCAGCTGGAAAATCACCAACGCAGTCACACTGGGGACAGACCATTCATCTGCTCTGATTGTGGGATGGGATTTACTCAGTCATCCAGCCTGCTGAGACACCAACGACTTCACACTGGGGAGAGACCATTCACCTGCTCCAGTTGTGGACAGGGATTCACTTCGTCATCCAGCCTGCGGATACACCAATGTGTTCACACTGGGGAGAGACCATTCACCTGCTCAGTGTGTGGGAAGGGATTCACTCAGTCATCTAAACTGTTGGAACACCAGGGAATTCACGCTGAAGAGAAACCATTCATCTGCTCCAATTGTGGGAAGGCATTCACTTCATCATCTAGCCTACGGATACACCAACGCGTTCACACTGGGGAGAGACGATTCACCTGCTCAGTGTGTGGGACAGGATTCACTCAGTCATCTAGACTGCTGGAACACCAGGGAATTCACACTGGAGAGAGACCATTCACCTGTTCTGAATGTGGGAAAGGATTCACACACTCTTGTAGATTGCTGGAGCACCAGCGAGTTCATACCAAAGAGAAACCATTCACCTGCTCCGATTGTGGGAAGGGATTTGCCAAATTATACAACCTGCTGAGACACCAGCAAGTTCAAACTGGGGAGAAACCATTCACCTGCTCTGATTGTGGGAAGGGATTTACCAAATTATACAACCTGCTGAGACACCAGCGGATTCACACTGGGGAGAAAGCATTCACCTGCTCTGAATGTGGAAAAGGATTCAATTTGTCATCCAACCTGCTGAAACACCAGCAAGTTCACACTGGGGAGATACCATACACCTGCTCTGAATGTGGAAAAGGATTCATTCACTCAAGCAGACTGCTGGAGCACCAGCGAGTTCATACCAGGGAGAAACCATTCACCTGCTTTGATTGTGGGAAGGGATTTACCAAATTGTACAATCTGCGGAGACACCAGCGAGTTCACATTGGGGAGAAAGATTCACTCAGTCAACTTACATGCTGATACAACAGCCTGTTCATTCCATGGAGAGACCTTTCACTTGTTCGGTATGTGGGAAGGGATTTACTCTGTCATCGAAGCTGTTAACACATCAGTAAAATGACACTGGGTGGATCCCGTTCACCTGTTGTGTTTGTGGAAAAGGCTTTGCTGTTTGCTAATACACCAGCAACTTCATAAAGAACCACAGGTGGAGGGTTTTGTTTTTACTCCCACCAAGGAAGGAGCCTTGGTCATTTTGCCATTTGTATTGACGTTATTAAACCCTGGTCCATGACAGGGGCTGATATTGTAGATAAAATGGTGATACAATTGTGTATCAGAAGAATAGGTTGTGGAAATGATCACAATATTGCTGTACATCACACTTACACTGGGTAAAGACTGTCCACCTGTCCACCAAAAAATATAAATCAGCTTTTTGTTAAAACTGTGTTGCATCAAGTCTTTGTCTAATCCTGAATGCCTTAGAGATAAGATAATCAGTATCCTTTACTGGGAGAAGGCACATCCAGAGTGAGATATAGCCAGAAATGCCGGGAATTTAGTTCCAAGTGCTGTTGGGACGTGTGCAAATTAACTTGGCAAGAGGGTGGGATCCAGAGAGAAAAGAGAAGAATCAACAAATGCGTCAGGAAGGCATCGACATGACAGGCCAGTTCAGGTACAAGGGAGTTTGACATGATTGAATGGCATTGATAATAATGCTAAGAGTTTGATGGAGAAGACAGATGAGTTCAGAATACAAATTGAAAATGGGGTATGATGATATTGCTGTCACTGACACATGTTTGAGAGAAAGGCAGGATTGGAACACATAGGTACCAACGATAGTCTTCATGCAGGGTCTTCATGCGATAGAGCAAAGGAGACAAAAGAAGAGGAGGTGTGACAGTATGTTTAGGGAATTTATTACGGCAATAAGGAAAGATGACATCTTAGAAAACTCCTTAAATAAACCTGGATGGGTAAAACTAGAAGCACAGGTAAGGAGGCAACTTTCGGGAATTGTAGAAGTATTAAGGTCATGATAGCGGGGTATCTCAACTTCCCCAAAATTCACAGTGGTTATCACAGTGTGAAAGGTTTCAAGGAACTTCTAAAATAGATCCAGCACAGCTTTCGAAGCCAGTGTATAGAAGTCCCAACAAGGAATGGGTAGGTCCTGTACTTAACTACTTGTCACCTTTTGTTGCCTAACGTTGAAGGATCAATTGGAGAGCATTTTGAAGATAGTTTCCGTAACTCTTTTAAAAATATTTGGGATTTTTCTGGAAAAGGACAAGGATAGGCCTCAAATGAAAGTTCTAAATTGTTTGATTTTTAATAAGACCAGATAATGATTTGGCCAGAGTGTGCAGGGAGCAGATTCTTTCAGGTAAATGTGCAAGAGGGAATTTAAATGGGTAGATGTGGAGCGCTATAAGGGGAAAATGAATTGATGCAGCCAGGTAAAATAAAGAAAAATGCTCAATTGTTTTACAGCTACATTAATCTTTAAAGCACAAAGGGGGAATGAGTGAGGCCCATTAAGGGCCACAGCAGTAATCTGTGTGTGGAGCCAGAGGACGTTGGCCTGGTTCTAAATGAATACTTTGTGTCAGTGTTCATTAGTGAGAGATGATTCAGGGAGACAATCTGTCATCGAATTTTAAAAAATGGACAGAGGGGAGGTTTTGAGTAGTCTGAGAGTCAGAATTAATTTATATTGGAGAGGCAGGGATTAATCAAGAACAGTTGGCACGCATATTTGTAAGGGGAGTTCATGCCTGACCAACTTGATTCAACTTTTTACAGATAAAGGATAAAGGATGGTTAAAGGATAACGGGGCAGAGAAGAAGGCCCATTAAGGACCACAGCGGTAATGTGTGGAAGTGGATGATCTAGGCCCAGTTCTAAATGAATGCTTTGTGTCTGTGTTCACTAGTGAGAGAGATGAATCAAGGTGAACGTCTGTGATAGAATTTAAAGAAATTAACATAGAGAGGGAGCAGGTTTTGACAAGTATAGCAGGCTTAAATATAGACAAACCTCCTGTGTGAGGTGAAATGTATCTGATGTCGTTGGGATGAAATATTAGGGGCGCTTGCAAAAAATTTTCAGTTTCCCTCTGATGACAGGAAAGGTGCTAGAGAAGTGAAGGATAGTCATAGAGTCCTACAGCACAAAAACAGACCCCTCGAGCCAACTTGTCCATCCTGACCAGATGTTGTATATAAATCTAGTCCCATTTGCCAGTATTTGGCACACATCCCTCTAAACCTTTGCTATTCATATACCCATCCAGATGCCTTTCAAATGTTGTAATCATACGAGCCTCCACCACTTCCTCTGGCAGCTCATTATACGCACACCACCCTCTGCATGGAAAAAGTTGCCCCTTAGGTCCCTTTTATATGTTCCCCTTTCACCTTAAACCTATGCCCTCTAGTTTTGGACTCCCCCACCCCAGGAAAAAGACCTTGCCTATTTACCCTATCGATGCCCTTCATGATTTTATAAATCTCTATAAGGTCACCCCTCAGACTCTGACACTCCAGGGGAAAACAACCTATTCAGACATTTCCTATAGTTCAAACTCTCCAAAATGGGCAACATCCAAGTAAATCTTTCCCGAATCCTTTCAAGTTTCACAACATTCTTCCTGTAGGAGGGAGACCAGAACTGCATGCAATAATCCAAAGTGGCCGAACCAATGTCATCTACAGCTGCAACATCACCTCTGAACTCCTATATTCAATGCACTGACCAATAAAAGCAAGCATACTAAAAGCCTTCTTCACTATCCTATCTACCTGCGACTCTATATTCAAGGAACTATGAACCTACACTCCAAGGTCTCTTTGTTCAGCAACACACCGCGGCACCTTACCATTAAGTGCATAAGTCCTGCCCTGATTTGTCTTTCCAAAATGCAGCACCTCATGTTTATCTAAATTAAACTCCATCTGCCAGTTCTCGGTCCATTGGCCCGTCTGCCCCACATCCCGTGGTACTTTTATTCTCGAATGGAGCAAAGAATAAACCAAGAAACAACTAGCCAGTCAGTCTCACCTTGGTGGTAATTGGAAGTAATTGTGAGGGACAGAAATAATTTGCATGTCGAGAGGCAGGGGTTAATCACGAAGAGTCAGATGGCATTTTTTAAGGTTGATTCAGTTTTTTGTTGAGATGTCCAGAAGTGTCAATGAGGGCAATATTTTTGACGTAGTCTCTTCAGATGTCAGCCAGCCTTTTGACAAGTCCTGCACAGGAGACTGATAACAAAAGGAAGAGACCATGGAATCTATTGAAAATTGGCAAATTAGATCCATAAGTGAAATAGATGATGATGGTTAAGGGGTGTTTTATTTTTCCTGACTAGAATTCTGTGGGCAGCGGTGTCCCGTAGTGGTCAATGTTGGACCCTTGCTGTTTATGGTTTATATAAATGACTTGGACTTGAATGTCATAGGATTATCAGTTAGTTTGCAGATGATACAAAAGAAATGGGTGATCAACGGGAGGATAGCCTTAGCCTACATTGGAGGATATACACAAGCTGGTCAAATGGGCTGATCAGTGTTGAATGAAATTCAATCTGGATCAGTAAGAAGTGACATGCTTGAACAGGATAATTGGTCATTGCATTTGGCTGTTTGCTAAAAGGTTAGTGGTTGGAAAACCAGCCAAGGAAGGAAGCCTATTCCTTTTTTTCCCCAGCAGCATACTTGGCAACACAGTCCTAGATTGTAAATAGGGATTTTGGATGCAGAACAATTTTGCCCAAATGCTGCTCGTTTCACAGTTATCCCATGATCCCTGAACAGACAGCTTCTAATGCATGGTGCTCCAATTTATGAAGAAAAGAAAATGAAGTTTAGACTTAATTGCTAATTAAACAGTGCATTTTCTACGAACTCAGTTAACATGGCCTCCTGTAGCAAGTATTCAAATCCTATTTTACAAGGTGCAAAATATAATAGCTTTGAGATTTCTGCCTGCAATTCCTTCCCTTGTAATGTCATCTGAAAGGAGTTGTAAAAAGCTGTTGCTACCAGTGCAGAGTAATTATTCAAAATAGACAAATTCCAGGTTCAATGTGAGATTTTCTTTTGATTCCAAAAGTTGGAAGTCACCTTACCAGGTACTCTGCCTTCCTTCTAACACTACTGTAACTCATTCTCCTCAAGATGAAAAGTCTTGTTGTTCAACAGGTCACTGCTCAGTTGTGAGGAGTGGTCACTGGATCCAAAACGTTAACTCTGATTTCTCTCTACAGATGCTGCCAGACCTGCTGAGCTTTTCCAGCAATTTCTGTTTTTGTTTCTGATGTCCTGCATCTGCAGTTTTTTTTTCAGTTTTACTGCTGAGTGCTTGCTGTCCAGGACACACAGACATGAAAATTTTCATGCTGGCCCGAGCCTAAATGTATATGCATGTATAAATGTTATATAAAACATTACCTGTTTTATATATGGTGCAATATTTATAATTTTCTGACCATCTGTGATAGAAATCCTGTAATTGTGAACATGAGGAAAAAGGCCACCCTTTGAGGCAGGCAAACAAATGTTTGAAGCTGAGAGTTCAAAACATACCTGAACCAACATTTCCAGAGCATGCTCCCTCCCTGGATTCAGTTCCTTTCCCTTCAGTTGCTGCATGTTGAAAAGCATTCCCCCCTTCCTCCCAGGATGAGAAAAGAAATGGAAAGGGGGGAGACATTACTCCCAACTGTTGCACAAAGGAGGAAGTTTCATTCTTAAGTTCGTTGGACAACTTCTGCATTGTGATGACACAGTGTGGAGCTGGAGGAACACAGCAATCCAGGCAGCACCAGAGCAGCAGGAAAGTTGACGTTTCGGGTCGGGACCTTTAGAAATGCACTGATGGAATGAAGAAGGGTTCCGACCCGAAACATCAACTTTCCTGCTCCTCTGGTGCTGCCTGGCCTGCTGTGTTCCTCCAGCTCCGCACTCTGTTGTCTCTGACTCCACCATCTGTAGTTCTTGCACTCTCTTCTGCATTGTGATGTCCACCATCGCTGGGTGGGGGGTGGGGGACCGTGAGACAGCCAATAGGAATCGCTGTGCTCGGCGGTGACAGCCTCAGGTTCCAGGCTGAGAACCAGGAGCGCGGTCACCAGAGCCCCCTCCCTCACCCATTGTTCCCCTCCCCCCGCCCATTGAGTCAGGGTTTCCAGGGCAAGCGGCTGTCGGCTCAGTACAGACCACGAAGCTGCTCGGTTAGCTCCCCCTCCCTCTGGTGGCTGCTGCTCCAAGAAGAGACTGATCGACCTTACTGCTGGCGACAGCTGTTCTATGCCTTCTCCTGCACTGCTCCTGCTCTGGAAGCACTTGGGAGAAGGGGACAACATTTTGTAACCCTTCATTTTCCTCCAGGTAATGCAATAACCCAGGGTTTGTGAATTATGTTTCGAGAGAAGAACTGGGCCATGATCTAAAAGAGTCATTTCATGAATCAGAAGGTGAATATGATCAGCCCTTGACTGTGGGAGGATTGAGGTTTGTTCTGACTGTGGGGTTAGATGGAGCATGTGGAAATAGAGAGGGAAGACCTTGGGAGGAGTTTGAAACCAAGGATGGGGATTTTAAAATTGAGGCGTGGCTGAACGGGGTTCAGATTTCTCCATATGTTCATTCATGGGATGTGAGCATTGCTGCTTGGATCAGCATTGGCTGCATCTCAGCCCCACACTCATGATCTTTGATAGCCCAGTGCGGAGGGGTCTGCGCAAGTCAGACGATCCTCTACCTGAAGCTTCAGTCCGTCAATTTAGGATAGATGATTTCCAAGAAAGTGGGGCTCACTCTAGCTGCCAGCCTCCTTTCAGGTCTGTGCCTCTCTCAGCAGAGAGAGCATGCAGTGTCTACTCGTATGATTCCATAATTCTACAATTCTAACAGCACCTTCCATAACTAATGGGCACTGCAGAGCACAGACACTGGGGCCAACTTTCTGACTTATTTGGAAAAATTCCTGTTACTTTTGTTGAGTCATTGTTGCTGATTTTGCCCGAGTTTAATTGAACAGCAAGTTTGACAATTTTGACAGGGGCAAGAATTTTCCGTCGAAACTAGAATAGTAATTTCTTGATATGTATCCTGGACTGATAGTGAGACTAATGCTGACAATTATTTTCCAAGGTTCAGAATGAGATATGTTTTGGAGGGCTATGATTAGGAGACAGGAATTTCAAACCAAACATTAATTAAGATCTGACAGGTTCATTGATTTATCAGAATACCACCAGCCTTTGAATGTGGAAGGAGAAATGTTTTTCTGGGTGTTCTGTCTGTGGGAAAAGATTTCAAACATCAGGGTGTCTGGAAAAGTACTGGGACATGAACGTATCTGAGTGTTCCGGTGAACTGACTGTGGAAAGAGCTTTAACCAATTACTACATCACATCATTCACGGTCTGTGTGGATGAAACTTCAACCAAAGATGCAACCTGGAGAGAGACAGGGCACATACACCATGGGGAAATATGGAAATGTAGGAGTTGCACAAAGAGCTGAGTCTAGGATCACAGACAGTCCAGTGCTATGAGGTGAGGAGTTGCAGCTTATTCATGCACCAATGATAAATGAACAACAATCAATAATAACTTGTATTTATCATAGTGCTTGTCAAACATCAGACTATTATATGGTACTTCAGAGGAATGTTAGAAGCAACGTTTGACATATGGCCACATAACGAGATGTTTGGGCAGAAACTAAGCAATTGTTCAAAGAGCTAGATGCTAACAAATATCCTAAAAGAGGAAAGTGAGGTTGAGGGGCAGAAAGGGTTAGCGAGGAAATTCCAGAGCTTCTGGCCTTGTCAGCTGAAGGCATAGTCAGCAAATATGGAGGGATATAAAATCAGGACTCTCCGTGAGCCAGAATTAGAGGGGAACAGAGATCTCGGCGCATTGTGAGGTGGGGTCGAGTGGGGAGTTGGAAGCTCATCTTCCAGTGAAATATAATGTCCTGGTCGTGAAGAACCTCAGTCATCAGGCGAGAGGGATTGAGTTGGTGGTGAGGGAGTGGAGTTGTGGCTGGGACTGAAGACAATGACGCCAGTTTTCCTTAGTATTTGATTGGATGAAGGGTCTGTTCATCTAATCTTGATGTCTGACAAGTGGGGATGGTGTGTGAGGTAAATGGAACCTGGAGGGGATGGTGTTCACATCCAGCTGTTGCTTTAGCCCTTCCAGGAGGTGGAAGGTGAGGATCTGGGTATTCTTTCAAAGCTCTGGTTGTGTTCTGGAGATATAAAGTCCCATTCCATTGTTCCCTGCTGCTCCTATCTCCATCTCTCTCTCTCTTGTTCCCTTCTTCAAAGAGGCCAGAGACTTGTGTAGGACCAGGCTCGGTGGCAGGTTCTCCTCCCTGAAGGACATTAATGAAGCAGTTGGGTTTTTACAACAGTTTGGCAACTTTTGTGGTCACTTTCTCCTCCAGCTGTCCCCACAAATGACCAGATTCATTCAGCTCAATTTCATAACTTTTATTTGTGTTTTCTTTGTGAGTTCTCCCTCTCATTCCTGTTTTTCTCTTTGAAATAAGTTTCACAGGGCAGAAAAAGGGAGGTAACACAGTGTGGAGCTGGAGGAACACAGCGGGCCAGGCAGTATCAGATGAGCAGGAACGTTGATGTTTCGGGTCAGGACCCTTCTTCAGAAATGGGGAGGGGGAAGGGAGCTCAGAAATAAATAGAGAGAGGAGAGGTGCGGCTGGGGAAGTTAGGTGGGATGGTGACAAGTGAGTGCAGGCAAGGAGTTGTGGGGATTGATCAGTGAGGTGGGAGGGGCAGATAGGCAGGAGAGAAGATGGACACGTTGTGTCAGGTCAAGGAGGCAGAGATGAGAGGGAGGGTATCAGCCACAACCTGAGCTACAGATCTGCTCCAAAACCTTAGGGAGGGTTGGTCATGGGATGAGGCCAGGGGTGGGTCGGGAGATTTTAAAACTGATGAAATCCATGTTTAGGCCTTTGGGCTGTCTGCTCCCAAGGCAGAATATGAGGTGCTGCTCCTGCAGTTTCCGGGTGGCGTTATTGTGACATTGGAGGAGGCCCAGGATGGATGTGCCACCCAGGGAGTGGGAGGGTAGTTAAAATGGTTCGCGACCGGAAGGTGTTGTCATTTGTTGCAAACAGAGCACAGATGCTGTACAAAACAGTCTCTGAGTCTCCGCTTGGTCTCACTGATGTAGAGGAGGCCACATGAGGTGGGGTGGGCGAAGAGGTGTAAGGACAGGTGTAGCACCTCCTGCGGTTGCAGGAAAAGGTGCTGGGTGTGGTGGCGTTAGTGGGGAGCATGGAGCGGACGAGGGAATCATGGAGAGAGCAGATGGGGGTGGGGAGGGAAATATATGTTTGGTTGTGGGGTCGGATTGTAGGTGGCAGAAGTGGCGGAGAATGATACATTGGATGAGGTTGGTGGAGTGATTTATGAGGACAAAGGGGATTCTGTCTTTATTTTTGTTAGGGGGAGGGGATGTGAGGGCAGAGGTGTGGGAAATGCAAGAGATGTGGTTGAGGGCATTTTTGATCACCGGAAGGGGGAAGTTACGGTCCTTAAAATAGGAGAACATTTGCAATATGCGGGAGTGGAATACCCCATCTTGGGAGCAGACATGGTGGAGGCAGAGGAATTGGGAGTAGGAGATCACATTCTTGCAGGAAGGTGGGTGAGAGGAGGTGTGTAGGTAGCTGTGGGAGTCAGTGGGCTTGAAATAGATGTCAGTTTTGAGGCGATCACCAGAGATGGAGACAGAGAGGTCCAGGAAGGAGAGGGAGGTATCGGAGATCATCCAGGTGAATTTGAGGTTGGGGTGAAAGGTATTAGTAAAGTTGATGAACGGTTCAAGCTCCTTGTGGGAGCACAAGGCAGCACCGATACAGTCATCGATGTAGCAGAGGAAGAAGTGGGGTATAGTGCCAGTGTAGTAACGGAAAAGGGACTGTTCCACATACCCTACGAAGAGGCAGGCATAACTTAGGCCCATGGCCACCCCCTTAGTCTGTAGGAAGTGGGAGGAGTTAAGGGAGAAGTTGTTAAGGATAAGGACGAGTTCAGTGAAGCGGATGAGGGTGTCGGTGGAGGGGGAACCGGTTGGGCTTGCGGGAGTGGAAGAAGCAGAGGGCTTTTATGCCATCTGCGTGGGGGATACAAGTGTACAGGGATTGGATGTCCATAGTGAAGAGGTGTTGGGGACCAGGAAATTGGAAGTCTTAGAGGAGGTGGAGGGCATGGGTGAGACCCATCCTTGTCCTTTTCCATAATAATGTTGAATCTTGTTAATTGTCTACAAAATCCTCCCCCATTGATCCTTCACCACTTGTCAGCCTTTGTCACTGAAAGTTAAGTCCAGCACCCCCCCTGCCCCCTTCCTGTTGGGACTTTGACATACTGGTTTCAAAAGCTGACCTGGATCTATTTTAAATGTTCCCCTAAACCTTTCACACAACATCAACCACAGTCGATATTGGGGAAGTTGAAATCCCCACTATCACAACCCTATTTATTATACGCTTCCTTAAAATTTGCCTTCTTACCAGTGCTACTTGTTCTATGCATACTAGTTTATTGAAGGAGTTTTCTAAGATGTGATCTCTCCTTACTGCTGTCATCAGTTCCCAAAACATTATTATGACACCTCCTCTTCTTTCGCCTCCTTCGCTGTCTTGCGTGAAGATCCTGTATCCTGGAGTATTGAGCTTCCAATCCTGCCTCTCTCTCAACCGTGTGTCAGTGACAGCAATGTTATCATATCCCATTGTCAATTTGTATCCTCAACTCATCCGCCTTGCTCAAATTCTTCGAATTAATATCAATGCCATTCAACCATGTCAAACCAAGTGCCGCATCAGCACTTGTGACTAAATTTCCAGCATTTCAGTTTCTCTCTGGATGTGCCTTCTCTCAACTGCTCATGTGAAGGGTTCTGATTGCCTCATTCTGAGTGCCTTAGAGATAAGAAAAAGACTTGATGCAATTTAGTTTGAACAAAAAGCTCATTTGTATTATTTTTATTCTAAGTAGGTAACTGAACCTGTGGTGTTTGCAAACATCATAAATAGGGCCAGAAAGCACGGTTTGGACATAGATAACAATCGCATCAAAATGCAACGCTGACAGTTACTGAGAACTCATTGTTGTTTAACCAATCCTGATGAGCCACAAAATCACTTTACAAACAATGTGCAGGTGGACACTCTTTATCCAACGTTAATGTGTTCATAAACATTGACATTGTGATATTTTCAAAACCTATCCTACCGATACACAATGTATCAACATTTTATTCTCTGTATCGGCACCTTTAACACAGCAAGGTCTAATAACATCAATACAACAGCCCAGTGACCAAGGTTCCTTTCTTGGTGTGAGTAAGAGCAAAACCCTTCACCAGTGGTTCTTTGTGAATTTGCTGGTGTGTTAACAAAGAGCAAAGCCTTTTTTCACAAACAGAGCAGGTGAACGGGATCCATCCATTGTCATTTCACTGGTGTGCTAACAGTTTGAAATTCCTTCCCATGGACAGAACAAGCGAAAAGTCTCTCCACAGAGTGAATAGGCTGGTGTATCAGCAGGTGAGTTAACTGAGTGAATGCTTCTCCCCAGCATGAACTCGATCGTGTCTGCGCAGGTCAGATAATTGAGTAAATCCCTTGCCACAATTGGAGCAATTGAATGGTTTCTCGCTCATGTGAATTCGCTGGTGTATTAGCAGGATTGTTGACTGAGCGAACGCTTTCCCACAATCAGAGCAGGTGAATGGTTTCTCCCCAGTGTGAACTCGCTGGTGTCTCAGCAGGTTGGACGATTGAGTAAATCCCTTCCCACAATCGGAGCAGGTGAATGGTTTCTCTCCAGTATGTACTCTCTGGTGTATCAGCAGTTTAGATGAGCAATTGAATGCTTTTCCACATTCAGAACAGGGAAATGGTCTCTCCCCAGTATGAACTCGCTGGTGTTTCAGCAGTTTAGATGAGCAATTGAACGCTTTTCCACATTCAGAACAGGCGAATGGTCTCTCCCCAGTGTGAACTCGCTGATGTCGCAGCAGATTAGAGGAGCGATTAAATCCTTTTCCACATTCAGTACAGATGAATGGTCTCTCTCCAGTGTGAAGTCGCTGGTGTTCCAGCAGTCGACATGAGTGAGTAAATCCTTTTCCACATTCAGAACAAGTGAATGGTTTCTTCCCAGTGTGAGCTCCTTGGTGTTCCAGCAGTTCAGACGGGCAAACAAATGCTTTTCCACATTCAGAATGGGTGAATGCTCTCTCCCCAGTGTGTACTCGCTGGTGTATCCGCAGGCTGGCTGACTGAGCGAAAGCTTTCCCACACATTGAGCAGGTGAATGGTCTCTCCCCAGTGTGAACTTGTCGGTGTTCCAGCAGTTTAGATAAGTGAGTGAATCCCTTCCCACACATGGAGCATGCGAATGCTCTCTCCCCAGTGTGTACTCGCTGGTGTATCCGCAGGCTGGATGACTGAGTGAATCGTTTCCCACACACTGGGCAGGCGAATGGTCTCTCTCCAGTGTGAACTCGCTGGTGTTCCAGCAGTTTGGATGATCGAGTGAATGCCTTCCCACACATGGAGCAGCTGAACGGTCTCTCCCCGGTGTGAACTCGCTGGTGTATCTGCAGGTTAGATGACCGAGTGAATCCTTTCCCACAAGCAGAGCAGGTGAATGGTCTCTCTCCAGTGTGAATTACCCGGTGTTCCAGTAGTTTAGATGAGTGAGTGAATCTTTTCCCACAATCAGAGCAGGTGAATGGTCTCTCTCCATTGTGAACACGCTGGTGTTCCAGTAGTTTAGAACAGCGAGTGAATCCTTTCCCACACTGAGAACAGGTAAATGGTCTCTCCCCAGTGTGAACTCGCTGGTGTATCAGCAGGCTGGCTGACTGAGCGAATGCTTTCCCACAAACTGAGCAGGTGAAAGGCCTCTCTCCAGTGTGAACCCGCTGGTGTATCCGCAAATTGGATGACCGAGTAAATGCTATCCCACAATCAGAGCAGGTGAATGGCTTCTCCCCAGTGTGGCTGCGTTGGTGAGTTTTCAGCTCGCATGGGTAAAGAAATCCCTTCCCACAATCCCCACATTTCCATAGTCTCTCCCCAGGGTGACTGTGCTGGCGTTTGGACATTTCAGATGAATCTTCACAGACTTTTCCACACACAGACGATATGTGTTTCTTAGTGTGAACAGTGCTTTTTCCCTGGACGTTCAAAATCCTGAGATGATTAGGTTATGTAAACAGAGTGACTGTCAGATCTGGATGTAGTTTCGTTTTAAGTCTCTTCCTGATTGCAACTCAACCTTTCAAACAGAAAACAGATGTATTAGAAGAAACCAGAAGGACTCACAGGTTGTGAAACTGAGAGCAATTAATCTGGTCAGTTGTGGAGATGACACTGAAAGAAACTGTTGGATTATCATCAAAACCGAACTGGTTGATAAATCTCCTTCAGAGAAGGGAACCAGTCAGTGTTTGCACAAAACCACAGAAAGAGATAGAGGTGGAAGAGACTGGCATGAAGCAGAGGCATTTTATAGATCTAGAACTCAATCCTGTTCCTCTTTTCTGCCCATAGCCCTGTGGAGAGATTAAAGGGTAAGAACAAGTGCATAGTTCCTTTAAAGTGGAGTTGCAGGTAGACAGGGTGGTGAAGAAGGCATTTGGAATTCCTGCCGTTATTGGTCAGCACATTGAGTACAGGAGAGGTGGGAAGTCATGTTGCAGCTGTATTAGACATTGGTTAGGCCAACTTTGGAAGACTGTATTCAGTTCTCGTCTCCCTGTTGTAGGAAAGATGCTGTTAAACTTGAAAAGTACTTAGAAAAGATTTACAAAGTTGTTGCTGGGATTGGAGAGTTGAGCCACACGGGGAGGCTGAACAGGCTAGGGCTTTTCTTCCCTGGAGTGTTGGAAGCTGAGGAATGATCTTACTGAGGTTTATAAAATCATGAGGAATATGGATAGGCTGAGTAGCCAATGTCTTTTTCCCAGGATAGGGAAGTTCAGAACTAGTGGATATAGGTCCAAGTTGAGAGGCGAAACATTTAAAAGGAACCTGAGCGGCAACCATTTCACACAGAGGGTGATGTGTGTATGAAACAAGCTACCAGAGGAGGTAGTGGAGACAGGGACAATTACAGCATTTAAAAGGCATCTGCATGGATACATGAATAGGAAGTGTTTAGAGAGATATGAGGCAAATGGGACTTGATTTATTTTCAATATCTGGTCAGCACTGACAAGTTGGATTGATCGATCTGGTTACCACGCTGTCTAAAGCAAAATGGTGGAAATCCAAAATAAAATCAGAAAATGCTGGAGACATTCAGCAGGACTTGCAGCATCTGAAACGGTGACAGATGCAGAAACCAGTGCAACCTTGAAGAAATGTTTTGATGATCATACAAAGCACCACAATATAGGTTACATGTTGAGGCTGGAAAATGGGACTAGAGCAAATAGTTGCTTGATGACCTGCAAGAACACGATGGGAACATTGTGTTCAACAATTTTACATCCGAGACTCTGACCCCATTTTGTTCCGTGTTTCTCTGTGACTATACGTAAGCAGTCACGAGAGGCAGGCAGGGAAGAATGCAAATGATATGTTGGCCTTCATCGAGAGAGGATTCAAGTACAGGAGCAGGGATATCTTTCTCTAAGGGCTTTGGTGAGCCCACAACTGGAGAATTGTGTGCATCTTTGTTCTCCTCTCCCAAGGAAGGATGCCCTGAAAGAAGGTTCACCAGATTGATTCCTGCGATGTTAGGACTGATGTATGAAGAGAGACCCCATGCTCAATTAATCCTCCTTTGTTTTGTCTTTCTGATCCGCTGACTGCATCACTAACTAATATTCCACCTCTCATTTCCTGATTTGAATCTAATCCATGTAAGACTACACTTTGGTTCCCATTCCCTTCCCATACTAATTTTAAAATCATCAACGTAACTAGCACATGATCCAAGAGGAGATGTGTCACAGCTCTGGCTTATACAGGTCCCAACTCCCACAGAAACGGTCCCAGTGCCTCAAGAATCTAAACCCTTCTCAGGTACACCATTTCTTCAGCCACACATTTATCTGACCTATCCTCTTATTCCTGCTTTCACTAGCATGTGTGACTGGGAGTAAGTCTGACATTATTACATTTGAGGTTCTGCATTTTAATGTATCTCCTATCATCTGATATTCAGCTTTCAGGCCCTCATTCTTTTGTTTAGCTATATCATTGGTACCTATGTGAACCAAGACCACTAACTTTTCACTCTCCAGCTCAGAATGTCCTGCAGGCACTCCATGACATCCTTCATTCTGGCACCAGGGAGGCAAAGTATCATCCTGGATTCACGTCAGACTGTAGCACTTACTATTTTGAATCCTGTCACTCCAGCCCTGACATTCGTTTTCCTCCCCTTTTATGCAGCAGACCACGTGGTGTCATGAGCTTGGCTCTTACAGATTTGCCTTGAAAGGCCACCTGTGACTACTCCTAACAGTATCTAAAGCATTATAACACAGAGTGAGCTGGAGAAACACATCAAGCCAGACAGCATCAACTTTCCTGCTCCTCTGATGCTGCCTGACCTGCTGGGTTCCTCCAGCTGCACGCTGATCTCTGACTCCAGCATCTGCAGTTCTTGCTATCCAAAGCATTATAGCTGTTTGAAACCACTGAAGTCTCCTGCGCTTCCTTCATTAGCCTTTTTACTTTGTCTGATGGTCACCCATTCCCTTTCTGCCTATGTAATTCTCACCACCTTGAAAAACAGCGTGATCATGGTTGCTCAGTGAATAGCACTATTGCCTCACAGCGCCAGGGACCTGGGTTCAATTCCACACTGAAACAAGCGTCTGTGTGGATTTTGCAAGTCCTCCCCATGTCTGTGTTTGTTTCCACCGATTTGCTCTGGTTTCCTCCCACAATCCAAATATGTGCAAGTTAGATGGATTGGCCCTGCTAAATTATCCATAGTGTTCAGGGATGTGAAGGTTAGGTGCATTAGTCATGGGAAATGCAGGGTTACAGGGATAGTGTAGGGGGCTGTGTCAGGGTGGGATGCTCTTTGGAGGACCAGTGTGACTTGTTGGGCTGATGGCCTGTTTCCACACTGCAGGGATTCTATTCTAGCCTTGCTGTCCACAACATTCTCAGTGTCATGGATGCTCCTTAATTAGTCATCCACAGCTCCAGCTCAAAACGTGGTTAGCCAGCAGCTGCAGATGGACACACCTTCTGCATGCAAACCTGTCAGGGACATTGGAGGCATCCCTTATTTCCCACGTTGTGCAAGAGGAGCACACCACAGGTCTAAGGTCTCCTGTCAAGACTTCTTCCCAATTTAAGCTAGTCACTTCCTTTGAGAGAATTTAATTGAGATATGGATCTTGCTTCACTTCAAACACTTCCATCATAATTGAAAGCTCTATCTGTATTTAAGCTAAATGTTATACTTTTAAAACTGTAAGAAAATTCTCTGCATGTATGACTTTCTAATTAGCTGTTTCCAGGGGGACCGAATTACCTTCTGAACTGAGACTGAGCACCGCACTCAATCTCTCAGCTTCACCTTCTCCCTGTCTCACAAAACTTTTTGAATCAAAGCACTCAACTCTACAGCACTCACAGTGCAGCCTTGTCATTTTAATTGTCTGCTCACACCTACTCAGACTTCAACCTCCTGTCCTGTTCCATTGCAGCTCATCTTTCAATTCAGCACATGATAACCCTCAACATAGATTTCAGTAGGTTCAGGGCCAACAGAAAGTTGTCAGGTTCTGGAATGTTCCACCTGATAGGGTGCCAGAATTTAAGTATGTATGAATTTTAAAGAGAGGTTTGCAGGTATTTGAGAATGAGGAATGTATCGGTTAAAATCATGAAGTGGGTGATTGGGACGAAATACGACAGTTCTTTCAAACAGCCGGTGTTATTTGGGTAAATCTGTACCCCTCTCAGGCACATATCTCTCAGTTGCAGGACCCAGAACTGAACATCTACCCCAAACAGTGATCCAACCACAAGTTTGAATATATTGCTCCTTTTCGATTTACAAACATATCAGAGATATTTCCTCACAGACAGAACAGACAAACCTTCTTACTTCAACAGTTAAATGCCAACGATATTCAGATCCTGATGACTCTGCTGATTATCAAATTGTTTTGAGATCCCGGTCTGCAAATTCCTCTCAATTAATATCCTGTAAAACGAATTCACAGAAGAAAAGTCACTATCAGTTCAGGATAGAAATCCAGAAAAGACAAACATTTCTTTTGATTTCAGTTTGCTGTGTAAAAGCACCTCTTCGAAACACCTCGCCCCAACCCTTGAGGAAAATTACGCATGCTCACAGCTGCATCTTGCCCCCAATAAAGATGGCACCGTTAACCCAAGGCCTATCACCGCCTGAGACCCGCAGCCGTTTTCCCATTTGATGCAAACGCGGGATCGGGAATTTCTAATTCAGGTATGGTAGCTTACACGGGGTACGTTTAAAGGTCTAGGCCCGAAACGTCAGCCTTCCTGCTCCTATGATGCTGCTTAGCCTGCTGTGTTCATCCAGCTCTACACCTTGTTATCTATGTTTAAAGCCACCCAGTTCAGATTAACTCCATTTTCTCTCACAGTGTCTTCTAATTCTCCCGCATTCATTGAGGGACCAGTCACAGCACTGCCCAGGCGCTGGAGACATTAATGATCACGTGCCGTCCTGCTGTACCCGCCCCTCGTTCACTCCGATTGGTTGGAGGACCAGCCGCGTCCGGTGGTCCGCCAGTCCCACCCATTCACCTCCTATTGGTAGGTGAGCTGCCGTCAATCAGTCAGGCCCCATTGTGAGGTGAATGGCGGGATCCACCCTCTCTCTGCCCTGAGATGAGCTTGCGGCTGGTGGCCATTCAACCCGTTGGAATTGTACTCTCTCACTCGAGAAACGGCGTCGGGCTCGATCCTGTCTCTTTTTTGGAGCAGCAACCGCAGAAGAACGGGGAGGGGCGGCTCCCCGAGCGGCTTCTTCAGAAGAAGGGTCTAGGCCCGAAACGTCAGCCTTCCTGCTCCTCTGATGCTGCTTGGCCTGCTGTGTTCATCCAGCTCTACACCTTGTTATCTCCCGATTCCTGTTGGCTGCTTCAGGCTTTCCCCGTCCCGGGCGCTGGTGTCACAACGCAGCGGCTGTCCAGTGAGGTTGCGAGTGAGACTCCCTCCTGTGTGCAACATCTGGGAGCAAAGCAATGTCTTTTTCTTTTCATTTTTCTTGTCTGTTTCTTTTCTCATTCTGGAGGTAGTGAGATGGAGGAAATTGTTTACTAACAGCAATTGAAGGTACAGGAAGTGAAACCAGTGAGGCAACAGACACTGGAAAGATTAATTAAAGTATGTATGTGTCTCTTGAAGTTATTGTCATTATTTGTTCTCTCAGCTTCCCACATATATTTGCCTGGCGATAAGGCTGGCCTCTTTCTAAATGTTCACAATGAAAGGATTTTTGTCAGAGATGGTCAGGATTTAAGGAGCTGTAAATTTAGAATAACCCAGTTAGTAGCATCCACCCTCTAAAGCCCTACAGCCTTGCAAGTTTATTTCCTTCAAGTGCCCCTTCCAACAAATTTTGAAATAATCCATCGCCTCCACTTCTAGCCGTGACTTAGGCAAATATCCCGTACAGGGCACTGTAGGATCTGCAGCTGTAGCTCTCAAAACAAGCTTGATCTGTAGATCTGACAGAGTCACTCGACCCAGTGGATATGAATATCATTGAACTTTGAATCTGAACGTATTAACGATCTTCTCTGCTCCAGACATTACTGTGACTGGAAAACAATAAGCTTCAGACTGAAACTATCTCCTCTGTGCACCGTCTTGGGAGGGAAGGGGGCAGCTGTTCACGAGCAGCAACCGAAGGGAAAGAAAGTGAATCCAGGAGGTGCAGATTTTAGTTTAGTTCCTATTCCTGTCTTTCTTACAGACACTGACATCTTTTGCTCTCTAAGTTTGACACATTTTCTTGTCTGGCTAAAAAGATGGCATTCTCCTGAATATTCACAATTAAAAGAATGATTTACTCAGGGAAAAGCTGATATTTAAGGGAACCATAACTTGTAGATATTTCTTGTGTTATTGTGACAGATATTCAACATTGTTTCCAGATCTATAAACATAGTGCGATTAGCTTTGTTTCTATTCTTGTAATACAATAATGTAGCTACATAATACATTTACAGTCTGAAAGCCATTATGACACAGGACACCATTCGTATCTCGAGTCCACACCAATACCAAAGCAATCCACTCAGTCTCATTTGTTCCTCTATATGTTTGTAGCCCTGCAAGTTTACATGCATTAGGTGCCCATCAAATTTCGATTTCAAATCGTTGATTGTTTTTGTTTCAACCGTAGGTAACTCACAGCCACCTTGTCAGGAGCAGCTGGGTAATAAATGCTGGCCTAGACAATGATACCCACATCCTTTGAGTGAATGAGTATAAAAAAGGCAGTGGTCCAGGTCACAGTCTCTTGCTGTCAAAATAAAATTATTTTTCACGTTCATCGTGCATCTCTCATCATTCATTACAACTCTGTATATTGCTCATTTTAGTCCACTGAATATCTTCATATTTACAGGAAACATGGGTCTGTCACTCAGCATGAATCATCACCTTGAGGAGAATTTAGAGAGTGCATATCAGATACAGCAGTGTGAAAATGGAGAAAATGTGTTGGAACACGCAAGATTTTTGGGGAACAAGAGAGGAAAAAATACTTGATTGCAACTAGAATTGTGTGTTTTGACTCTCTATCCTGGACTGACAGTGATTATGACTTTTATGATTTTGTTATGCATAGCCATTTGATTCCTTGGGACCTGAAATTCATTGGCCTGTGAATCTAGAAGGAGAAATATTTGACAGTTCTGATGCTTCATAAGTTTTTTTTTTCAAATTTCATTGTCACCAGAAAACAACATGACCTATGGTCCTCATTGAGAGTGTTCCAGTGGGAGTTCTGTGGAAAGGGCTTCAACCAGCTAAACAGCCACAACAAACTGCACACCATTAACACTGGGGAAAGACTGTGCATGTATTGTGTTTGCTCATGGGTAATCTGTAGCTTGCTTGGTGGACTTTTTGAGGAGAAATAAAGCCGGGCAATTTGCCTAGCTCAGGTTGAGGGGAAGAAAGCCCGAGAGGTGACCTTAGTGAGGGCAGTGAGCCTTGTGGCAGGAAGTAGCCAGTTCAATAGTTAACAACAAACCGAAGAGCTGCAGATGCTGGAAATCAGAAACAGGAACAGAAGTTGACGGAGAAATTCAGCAGATCTGGCAGCATCTGTGGAGAGAAAACAGAGTTAATGTTTCAGGTCCAGTGAGCATTCTTCAGTTCTCTTAGGCATCTCGATGGCAGCAAACCATTAGTTAGAAACTCACGCAGGAGCTGGAAAGTGAAATCATGGGGTGCAGGGGTGAACAGGAATCATATTATTGTAGAAAAGGCAGCAGAAGTGAAAGAACAGATTCTCACTGAGGTGCTGAGAAAGATAGTGCAGAAGATGGAAGTGCGTCAAAAGGACTGATGTGTTTTCCCTGTCTTAGGGGTGAACATTTATAGGCAAAGTGTCAGAGATTATTAAGTAATCCAGTGAAAATGGCTGGTGTTTCGCCAGAGAAAGTTGTACTAAAAAGGTAAATGTGTGAGCAATCTGTTCTTTCTAATAGTCACTATTGGGGAAAATAGACACAGCAGGGATTTTGGGAGATTAATATTTGAAGGGAAGTAACATCATTTTTTTCTCTGATGGAGGTAAGAAAGATTGTAATCCTGAGAGCTACTAGCTCAGCACAGATGTTATTATTAGAAAAAGATTGACTTTTCTTCAAGATGTTTATTGTATTAATACAATGTATTGTTAGTAACTGTATGTATATCCCATTTATCAGAATGAATTTAGATTGTGCTTTGGTAAATGAGTGTTATTTTTGGTGTTGTTTCCAAATTACAAATGAGTCATGAAGATGATACATTGGAATTGTTATAATGGGGTGTATAGCGTTTCCACAACCTGTGATGGTTTCCCACAGTTTAGGAGATATCTCTGTGAGTAAACATTCCTTGCCTATTTGTAATCCAGCTGAGCAAAGATTCAAATGAAAATACTGATGTATCTACTCCAGTTATGGACTGTACTCAGGCAGCAATAGTGTCTGCAGAATCACAAATTATGTACTTTCAATGGAATATATAAAGGCCTCAGTGACCTTGAACTGACCATAACACTTAAGATTGAATTAAATGTAAAATAAAACAATGAAGTGTGGATGCTGGAAATCTGAAACGAAAACAAAAATTGCTAGAGAAACTCAGCAAATCTGGTAGCATCTGTGGAGAGAGAGTACAGTGAATGTTTTGAGTACAGTGACGCTTCTTCAGAATGGAACTGCACCTGAGCAGGTAACTCTGGCTGTTCTCCATAAATGCTGCCTGACCTGACATTTTCGAGCAATTTCTGTTTTTGTTGTTGAATTGGACATGTTTGCCAGTGCTGAAACAATACAGAATACAACAGTAAGGAGTTCAGCAATGACCAACTCACAGTGAATTGTGTGTGGAAGTCTCAAAGCACAAAGAAAAATGAAAGTCCAATTTGCCAAAGGTGTTGGTGGCACTCACAAAGAGGGAAAGAAATGTCCTTCTGAATGTGATCAAGAAAAACTAAAAGATTACAAATTGTTTAAAGATCAGACCAACCACGAATATGCTCTTGAACATGAAGAAGGAATTTGATAATGTGACCAAAGAAGATTGTAACCAAGGAAGGATTGAGTTGTTGGTCTTTAAGGCAAACCAAATACTTTTTCAAGTTGGTTCCAACAGCACAAATTTTCAGATATTCTCCAAGCAAAAGAATTCTGGAAGTCTAGGTGCCAAACTCAGAAACTGCAAGAGAGATCAAAGTAAATGCCAGAGGGCTGTGGCATACCTTTCGATTAGTCTCTAAATGAAATGAATGGACCTTCAAGATATTTTGAAAATGAGGGAACTGTTGTTGAATAACAGTAAAACTGGAGTCAAGGCACGACTCGATATATACTGTTATGGTCAGTGTCAGAGGGCTTACTTTCATTTCTTTTTCAATTGCCTACAGAGAAATTTGTTTTGGAATGTGGTGTGTGAATCTTCAAGATGCTTACTGAGTATTTTCTCCTTAAATCTTCACAGCCCTGCGATCATAATGACCTACCTTGCTACTCAGGGAGAGAAGTGGGCAGTGTTGGTCAATGAGAATGTCCATAGACTGCAAAAACCAATAAGGTTCAGAAAGTGATGACCAGATTTGGACTGAACACTAAACCCCAGAGTGAGAAAATTCTTGTTGACAATAACCATTCAGGTTGAGAGAGCAATCACTGATTTGGAAGGTGAGCCAACTGGCTTATTTGACAACAATGATTAATATTTAATATTCCAGTGCACCTTGATGTGATTTCTGCGGATCCTACCATTTTTGGAGTCTTCTCTTTTTGTTTTCTGATCCGTGTTTTTCTGGATCACTACCTCCTTCAATGTTTGACTATACTTTCACACATACACCAATTCCTTTGCAGATTCAGATTAATTTTTCAGTCTTTCTGAAAAGCTAACCATTCTAATCTAAATGAACAGCTCGATCTGCACACTGTACAACTGCTCATGCTCTTTTTCTCTGTCTGCATTTCTATCTTCTGAAAACAGATTCCCAACAGAAAGTTTTCACTGTTCCTCCTTTCTTAAGACAATGAACAACTGTTAAATTTAGCATGCATGCTGGGTTTTCCCGTTACAATACTAATCCAGCTATTTTATGGCAATCCCGAATCATTCATATGGATTTTTTACGTAAAAATCTAGTCTATATCTGTGAATTTTTGATATCCACGACAATCTGTTGTTCATCTCTTCCTTTGAGTCAACCAGCTTTGTGTCCCTGATAACAGCTAAACATAGTTTGCATCTAAATAGGTTGACCTGGTGCTTTAATCTCTTCCTGACCAGAAATCCAGGTTTATTTTTCTTATAGCTACATTAAAATATCTGACACTTAAAACAACATCAATTTACGAAATTCCATCACTGAGCTTACGTAAAGTGCAATATGACCATCTTAAATCTCATTAATTATACCAATATCCCCATGAGGTGAGGTCTAACAACCCCTACCTCAAGGCCGACAGAAACTGCCCTCCCCCTCACAAATATTTCCTGCACATGTACACCATGCAGTCTGTTTTTGTTTGTGAAAGGTCTCAGATCTTGAAGACTTCACATCATCTGAACAAATATTTCGTATTTTTCAGTTTTAATTTGACATGTATGGAAATAATAGAGAGGCAATGGCCTAGTGGTATTATCACTGGGCTGTTAATGTAATGATTTGGGGACCTGGCTTCAAATCCGGCCATAGCAGATGGTGGAATTTGAATTCAATAAAAATAAAGAAAATCCGGAATCAAGGGTCAAATGATGTCCATGAATCCATTGTTGATTTCACAAGTTTCAAAATCTCCCCTCCCCCCACCGCATCCCAAAACCAGTCCAGCTCGTCCCTGCCTCCCTAACCTATTCTTCCTCCCACCTCAAGCCGCACCTCCATCTCCTACCGACCAACCTCATCCCGCCCCCTTGACCTGTCCGTCCTCCCTGGACTGACCTATCCCCTACCTACACTCACCTTTACTGGCTCCAACCCCGCCTCTTCGACCTGTTTGTTTCCTCTCCACCTATCCTCTCCTCTATCCCTCTTCTATCCGCCTCCCACTCTCTCCCTATTTATTTCAAAACCCCCTTCCCCTCCCCCTTTTCTGATGAAGGGTCTAGGCCCGAAACGTCAGCCTCTCTGCTCCTATGATGCTGCTTGGCCTGCTGTGTTCATCCAGCCCTGCACCTTGTTGTCTCGGATTCTCCAGCATCTGCAGTTCCTACTATCTTTGATTGTTGATCGTCAGGTTCTCTCAGGACTGTGACTTGAAAGGAATTTGGGGATTTACGTATACACATTAATCAATTAAAACTTTTTAACTGATTAAAGATTTAACAACATCTTAGGTTTGTTTAATACATCCCCATCAATGGTGTGAACCTTTGCTCTTTCACTTATAAATTCTGTATCTGATACTACATGTCTAACTCACACCTGAAGAGGGACTGAGACTCCGATAGCTTGTGTTTTCAAATAAACGTGTTGGACAATAACCTCGTGTCGTGTGATTTCTGACATTGCCCACCTCAGTCCAACACCGATGCTTCCACAACATCATTTTGGGGGGAAATCAATGAAGCTCTGATCAGGAAGAAAAGTCTGGGAGAGGTGGGTGGAGAGGATTCACCACCACCACCCACTGGAGACACCCCGACCCCGAATCAAACTCATTGATTTGATTATCCGTCTGCAGACAGGAGCTGGAGGACTGAATTCAGAGAGAGGGGAGGGAGGGAGAAAACTGGGAGTGGAGGAAAGAGATGGGGAAATGGGT